TATATGGACCATAAATGATAAAAAAAGAGAAAATAATAAGGACGAACCCATCACATACTAATTGTTGGAGATTGTACTTTTTATGCATTTGAAATAAAACATTTAATCACTTAATTATGAATTTAATGACTCCAATTAAATTAAGTTCTTAGCAAATGGTTATGTCAATTGCACCAAGTATAATTGCTAGCTTGTTTACAGCAATTTGGGAGACCAAATTACTCCTACCAATCAACCTAGAATAAGCACAAATTTAACAAAAAAAACGTGTTTTTTATTATTAAAATCATGTGAAGACAACATGGTGATGATGCTACACAAAAACTAAGAGACAATTAATGAAATTTTAATTATATAAACTTCATGACATTAAATATAATTAATTAATTAACCTAATACTACTATATAACGCAGAGTTAATCTTGATTAACACGACCTTGTCCTCCTTATTGAGCATAACTAAACCCTGTCCTTTACGATAAAACAAGCAGGCAATTCCGGTTTAAAGGGATAAAACAGAGACCGTTGCAATATAAAAATAGACATATCAAACAAAAAAATAATAAAAAAAAGATTAATAATGAATTTTTGTTATAAAATAATAATTTGGTCCTTGAAACTCATAATCAAATGATTCGCAGGTTCGAAAGCTGCTAGACATGATCCGTGGCACGTGGCGCAAAAAATGATTTGTTACATCGGCTGCCAATACGCAGTCGTTTGATTTTACTAAGCTCTTTAGCTAGCCATGATGAGATCACTCTTACAGTTCTCCTCGTCATCCACGCATTTTACTTATTTAGCCTCATTTGGAGATGAAATGGGAAGAGTACTTTTAAATTTACATAATCAATATGGTTTAAATTTTTCAATACAATGTGTGTGAATGGTAATATAAAAATTTTAATAAGATTTGAGATAAATTGGAATTATTTAATATTGACATAAAGTTTAAATTAATCCACCTAAGTCGAGTTTTGTTAAAATTGAATTCAATTTATTAAAAATAATATTTAAATTCAAATTTTAAAAAATTGAATCCTCAATTTGTTTAACTCAGGTTATTTACAAACGAACTTAGGTTGAGCTCGGTTCTAATTTACAGTTAACAAAAAAATTATTGTCCATTTATAAATTTACATTGAAGCTTGAATTTTTTAATTACATAGTAATCACAAGTCTTTGAATTTAGCTTGTTTATGTTTTTTTTTTAAAAAAAAAATTATTGAGACGTTTAACAGATTAAAATAATATTATAAACTATATAATATGATAATTCTTCTTTTTACCTATCAAACAGTGAAAACGCTTGCCGTCGATTGGATATTAAAGCTCAAATTTGAGTCGGTAAATTTATTCTACCAATTTAAATGAATTTCTTTGGAGTTGAATTGGGAGCATTTCACCAACACATTCCACCCATTTAGTGGTAAAAGAGGAGCATGTAAAAATCGATTGGATTATTGAAGGTAAATTTCGATTGCATTAAATAAGGAAAGTCCAGGATAAGTCAATGGATGAGTTCCCACGTAAACATCGTCCTCAAAACTCAGAAGTAAATGTTAAGAGAAAGATGACAGTTGGGAAGCTAACGTGCGCACCGCTGGCTGGCAAACGGAAAACGTTGGTTATTGGGAACTGTTCTGAGGGGGACAGCTGAATGGTAATGAGCTAACTTGACGGAGATTGGTAACGGCGACTGGGTCCACAAGTATTGTTCAAGCGGGTCCCACTCTAAACCTTTGGGACACCCTGGTAATGTGCTACCACTGTTGAACTGTAGTTGGAGTTGGAGGTGGCCTTGAATGCTAACGTCGTGAGCCTATTCACAGCTTTGCATTTACTAATATTTATTGCGAAATCAAAAATGAATTAATAAGAGGACTAAGATAAAGGACAAAGTTTTGAGTTTATTTACGATTTAAGGATTTTCTCTTTTCCTTGGCTTAACTGTTAATTAATGCGGGTATTAGAACTGGATAAAACCTTACACGTGTCAAACAGATAGCAACTGCGAAATTCAACCATTAGATAATAAGAGTTTTTGTTTCTTACAACAATGGATATTGCAATAAAAAATATTAAAATTGATTGTATTCAAAATTTAACTGGACAAGAAAGAGAAAGGAATAAATAAATAAAAAAAAAGAAGATTGTCTTGGCTTTGTTTTTGTAATATGTACAATGAGATTCATGCTTTTTCAAAAAAAAAAAAAAAAAAAAAAAAACTGGACAAGAAAGAGAAAAGGAATAAATAATGAAAAAAAAAAAGAAGATTGTCTTGGCTTTGTTTTTGTAATAGTACAATGAGATTCATGCGTTTTTTCAAAAAAAAAAGTAAAAAAAAAAAAAAAGAGAGAGAGCATTTCTTGCTGTATTCAAACAACATAATTCCATTCCCATTTTTGATTTTTGAAAATTTAAATTTTTTAAAATTGTATAAAAATTTAATTTATATTATTTTTTTTCAAAAAAAAAAAAAACTGTCAACATGCATGCTAGCATATTTATATTAAGATTATAGAATATTTATATTAAATGAGAAGCTTCAAAAGAAAAAAAAAAAAAAAAAAAAAAAAAAGAGAGAGAGATTCTTGCTTTTATTCAAACAAATAATTCCATTCCCATTTTGATTTGAAATTTAAATTTTAAAATTGTATAAAAATTTATTATATTATTTTTTGTCAAAAAAAAAAAAAAACTTCAACATGCATGCTACATATTTATATTAAGATTATTAATATGTTATATTAAGTGAGAAGCTTCAAAAGCAACATTTGAAGAGAGTTTTGATGTTCTACGTATTTATTAAGATTATTAATAAATTTTCTTTACAATATATATAAAACTTAAATTTCATTGACATATTCACTATATTGCGTGTCTTTTCTTTTTTATATGAATAGAATGTATAATTTTCCTCGAGCTACAAAGCGTAAAGATTTTTTACTCTCTTAGTAACTGAGTTTTATATAAATTTAACTTAAATTTTTATTATTTCAGAGATTGAAATCACTTACTATTTCAATTAACATCTTATTAATTTACGTTCTTTCTTTTCAGAAACTAAAATGACATACTTTTATGTTGAAATTTTTGCATTTACACGTGCAAGGTGTATGGTTGATACTTTGTCAATTTTAATTAATACACATGAAATGGATGGGATGGTAGTTGCATTTAAACCTTTCCATGGGAATGCACATCAATGAGACCAATTCTTTCATTAAATGACGAAATATATGAATTAATCTTTATATTTTAAATTATTCTCTAAATTTTATGAGGGACCTCTTATATCACTAAAGTTATAAATTTTGGTAACGTTGCATGCCTCGTCAAACTAGCAATAATAATTTTCATGGTTTTTAATTATTATATATGGATATTAAATTATTGTATAGCTAGTATGACTTTTTGATATTTTAAACTATTTAACAATTTCTCACATTTTAATTATTTAACAAATATTTAATTAATCCAATTGTAAGTTGAAATGATTTATATATTTATTTAGAAGTATTTAATTGTTTAATAGTAAAAATTAAGAGTATTATAAATATTTTCTATGTCGTTCCATCATGTATATGTATTCGGTCTTAAATTTGGATGTTTCTTTTCGTGCCCGGAAAGAGAATGGGAACGACTCCCCCTCTTCCCATTCTACTGTCCAAAACACGAGGACCATTCTAAATTCTAGGGTTGGACAATGTAAATTCATGCATTATAGGTCTCTCAAGTTTTTTTTTTTTTATTAAAATTAAAATAAAATATTTCATATCATAGTTATTTCTTTTTTATTTTTTAATTTATCTTTGCTTCTTGCACTTATTTAAGATTCGAACTTAAATTTTTTTATGAAAATTTTAAAAATGATGTTTTTAGTATTTACGTAATCTTAATAGTAAAAACTTTAAGTTTTGAACTCTTGATTTTATAAATAAAATTTTTTTGAGATGCAGTCAACTTTATTAATTAAATTGTCTGTTGGTTTATAAATGGGGAATTTTTCATGAAGAACCAATTTAATTTGAAACGTACTTTAAATTTAAAACACAAATGTTTAAGCGGGGTGAGAAAGTAATGCACAGTCTAAACCTTTTGTACTTTGAAGATGCCAAAGACCAATAAATTGGAATTAAACCTAAAAAGATCATAAAGATTAAAGCAAGGTCTAATAACAATATAAATAAATTATTAAATTCTCCGCCTCCAAATTAAAATTACACAGCATCTTTCTTAAATCATATCACAGACATCTCCATCACCGTCAAATTTAAGTAAACCACCAATCTTATCACATGGGTCCCGCTTGTCAATCATCACTCATCAGTCATTGGCTGTGACTATCCTGACGCTGTTCATGTGATTGTGCGCCGTATAACGTTCAAAGAATGCATAAACGACAAAGCCACAAAGCCAAACTTTAACTTTTCTTTTCATTCGCTAAAGATGGCGCCTGCCAACTTTCAAAAACACAAAAACGACATCGTGTAAATTCTCAAACCATAAACCCAATTACGGAATTTAAGCAGAATAGCCAGGGCAAATTTGGTAAAATAACGGAAAGAAAATTGTATGGTACTGTAGATTTTGTAACTGTGGAGTTTATATAAATAAATACCAAAACTGAGAGACTCAGACAGACAGAACTGTATCTTTCTTCTCTCAAAGCTGATTATATTATAGACTGATTTAATCTTTTTTTTTTTTTTTTATCATAAGAGTAGATAATACGCGAAAACTGGGAGAGGACTCCAGACGACAGACAGTGAGACTTATACTCTTGCGTTTCTCTGTGCAAAAGTGGGATTAGATGGTCTACTATTGACTGTGTAATTTATACTCTTGTTTGGTGTTGTTTCTTTTGTTGACTGGCCGGCTTTGTGATTTTAGCTGAAGTTGATAAAGGTTTCTTCGTTAAAGATGCCTAACGATTCTTGAGACAGATGATTTAATTTTTTTTTTTTTTTTTTTACTTCGCTTTTGTTTTATTATAATTTTAAAATCTCGATTGAAAAGCAGATAGAGTGAAACACAGAAAGAGAGAGAGAATGAGATGGAGATGGAGATAGAGAGAGATAATATACTATAAGAGGAGAGGAGTTTCAAGTTTTTACTCATCTCCAGAAATTGAAGAGAAAATTGATTTGATTGTTTCTTGTAAGTAAACCCTAAAGATATTTTCCTCTTCGTTTTGTTTTCGCGCGCTCTGACTCTCTGCGCGACTGCTTTGCTGTTTTGGTTGAAACTTCGGAGGTATAATTTGAGGAAGTAGTTGTTTTGGGATCAAAGAGTTTTTTGTTTTTAATTATTTTACTTTTTCTCGGGAAACAAACACACTTTTTTGATTTTTTTTTCTTCATTTTGATTTTGGTTTGGTCTACAATGCTTTGAGGAGCTGTGGCATTTTGAGCCTTTAGCTTATGTTTTGAAGGTTTTTGGATCTAAAAATGCTTTCTTTTCTGCTGTTGATTTTTGTTTGCCAGTTTCAAGCCTTATGGTTTGAAAGTGAAAAGTCTCATTGTTGTTGTTTTACTAGTTTATGTAATGAAATGAAATCATCAATGATTACTTTCTTATATTTTCATTTGATATAGGATTATTTATTTATTTATTTTCTGTTGTTGTATGTCCTGATTCTGGTCTTGGTTTCTGATGTGCAGGACAGTGTGACTTGTCTTTTGAGTGCTTGTTAGAGTTCAAATTTGGGGTTTAAAAGTGAAGATTCCATAGTCAAATCGATCAGTGAAAAAGCTTGAATATCTGCTCTATTTTGTGCATGATTTTGTTGGTCCTATTGGATGCAAAAACAAGAGAATCTGCAATCTGCATTGCTTATCTGGGATCCAGCAATTACTCCTTATTTTTCACCTCTTGGAGCTGTTTCTTTTACTACTTTGACTTACTGATTGAAGGCTCAAAAAGCAATTCTAGTCTGTGACAGATAATAAGGTCTAGTTTTGGTGCTGTGTCTTTTTCCATTTTTCCAAAACAGTGTTGGTGATTCTCTCTGTGAAGTTTTGTAGAAGAGCAACTGAGTTTTTGTCAAATTTGTGCCAGTGGAATCAACTTCTTGCTTTTTGAGCCAAAAGGATAACTAGATCCTCAAGATTTCTGGGTACTATATGGGGATCAAGTAGGAAAGGAAAGGAAAGACAACTTGTGTACTAGGTTTGTTTTTTGTGAGTGATAGTTGTGGAATTTAAGTGAAAATGGTGAAAATGGTCTTTTCAACGAAGGTGTGTCTGCTTCTGTTATGACTGTAAGGGTATGGTTTACTTGTCGGTGGTACATGCGTTTCAATCCAACATGGTGGGGGCAAAGCAATAATGCATAAAATGTTTTTGTGTCTTACGGCTTCTGTATGACTGTATGGGATTGATGAATATCGGCAATTTGATATATTAAAGGAACTAGGAGAGGTTTTTTATACATTTTGCGGTTGTAGTGATGAGTAGAGAGCAAAGGAGAGGAAAACAAGAGAAAGGCGGCTCCGATGTCGCCGAGAAGGTCGTAGTTGCAGTTAAGGCATCCAAGGAGATTCCTAAGATTGCCTTGGTGTGGGCTTTGACTCATGTTGTGCAAGCTGGGGACTGCATTACTCTGCTTGTTGTTGTACCTTCACAGAGTTCAGGTGTCTTTTCATCTCCATTCGCCTTATATGGGCTTGGTCTTGTCAAATTTTTAGTAGTAAATGTGATTGGTACATTCTATTGCTAACATTAATAGATTAGGCTCATTTCTTAAATTGATCATTTTGCCTTATTCCTACCAGTCCCGCTTCAATATCAGCTTGTCCATTATATTTTCAGCTGATGAGTACTTTCAGATGGTACTTTTACCTTCTAGTAAATGAAGGAAATTTCGTTGACGTTTCCAATATCAGAAGGCATTTTGGGGAAGAGAAAATGTTGCTGTGTATCAGCTTTTTCTGGCCATGTATCTTCCATTTTACAATTTTTCTTGGTAGAGCGTTAGTACTGGTATAATGGCGGAAATTCGAAATTTTCCAGCCTCGTTGTGGAAATTAATTATAGTACTTTTGACCTCAGTGAATTTCAGCTGCACCATTTTTCTTCATTTGTTTTCCCCCCTTCTTTATTGAATATGATACTTACAAGTTGCTTGTTTCTGCAATCCTTCAGGTAGAAAGTTATGGGGTTTCCCGAGATTTGCTGGGGACTGTGCCAGTGGTCACCGGAAGTCTCATTCAGGAGCAACCTCAGAGCAGAAGTGTGATATTACAGATTCTTGCTCCCAGATGATCCTTCAGCTTCATGATGTTTATGATCCAAACAAGGTGAGTTCATCTATATATGCTCAATTTCTGTTCAATGCCTTGCATGCTAATACTATGTTTTCTGTCTTTATTTTTTACAGATCAATGTGAAGATAAAAATTGTTTCTGGATCACCTTGTGGTTCTGTGGCTGCAGAAGCCAAGAGATCACAAGCCAATTGGGTTGTATTAGACAAGTAAAACTCTATTTGTATTTTTTTTTTTTTTTTTTTTTTTTTTTTTTTTGCTGGATCACCTTGTGGTTCTGTGGCTGCAGAAGCCCCAAGAAGATCCCCAAAGCCAATTGGGTTCTCGTATTAGACCCAAGTAAAACTCTATTGTGTATTTTTTTTTTTTTTTTATTTTTTTTTTTTTTTTTTTTTTTTTTTTTTTTGAAAAGTACTTGTAATGTTTTGTCCTCTCCCAAAACAAAGACCTAGCCACTAAGATTTTGAATTAACATGCATAATGCTTTTCATGCCCCAGAATTCGTGCTAATGCTCTAATTCATGCATTATCATTCAACATATTTTGGTTTGTTTTGCAGACAGCTGAAGCATGAGGAAAAATGCTGCATGGAAGAACTACAATGCAACATAGTTGTTATGAAACGTTCCCAGCCAAAGGTTCTTCGCTTGAATTTGGTTGGATCACCTAAAAAAGCTGAAAGTGCAGGTCCATTACCTTCTGAACTAGATGAAGCTTCTGATAAACATACAAAAAATAAACATGATTGTTCAGATTCCATTAGAGGACCAGTTGTGACTCCAACAAGTAGTCCAGAGCTAGGGACACCATTTACTGCTACTGAAGCTGGAACATCTTCAGTGTCAAGTGATCCTGGAACCTCGCCATTTTTTATCTCAGAAATGAATGGAGACCTGAAGAAAGAGGAATCATTAATCATGAAGAAAAATAGGGATGTTGATGAATCTAGTTCAGACACAGACAGTGAACATTTGTCTTCAGCTTCCGCAAGTTTGAGGTTTGAACCATGGATAGGAGAATTCATTAGTTCTCAAATTCAATCCTCACGACACATGGAAGATGGATCACAGAGAAGTGCCAGTATGGCTCCAGTGTCAACAACTAAAGCTTTGCTAGAGAAGTTTTCAAAACTTGACAGAAAAACTGGGAATGGATTGTCTAACTTTAGGACTGATTTAGATTTAAGTGGAAATGTGAGAGAAGCAATATCATTATCTAGAAATGCACCTCCTGGCCCCCCTCCTCTGTGTTCAATATGTCAACACAAGGCACCAGTGTTTGGAAAACCTCCGAGGTGGTTCAGCTATGCTGAGTTGGAGCTTGCAACTGGTGGATTTTCACAAGCAAATTTCTTGGCAGAGGGTGGGTTTGGATCTGTTCACAGAGGTGTGTTGCCAGATGGCCAGGCAGTTGCTGTCAAGCAACACAAATTGGCTAGTTCACAGGGGGATCTTGAATTTTGCTCAGAGGTTGAAGTCCTAAGCTGTGCTCAGCATCGGAATGTTGTTATGCTGATTGGATACTGTATTGAGGACAAAAGGAGGTTGTTGGTTTATGAATACATATGCAATGGGTCACTCGATTCTCATCTATATGGTAATTTCTTTGGCTCTGAATGAAGAATTTAATGCTTGCATTATACAGATTATTCGGTATGTGTCCAGATCATCAATGACAATTACTGATGCACTCTAATTTCATTTGTGGACTTACAAACGTTAGAGGGATTTCTGCAATGTTAACATGACTCTGTAAAGGTCTATCATTAATATTTTTCTAACATCTTGCCCTAACTGTAATTTGAGGATATCTATTGGCAATCTGCTGGAAATTCATTCAGATATAATTTCGAGGGGAATTATTGGTGAACTATAGCATACAATTTAGAAGATATAATTTGAGAGCTTCATAATCCGGTTTTTAGTTGGATATTCATCAATACTATCATGATCATGATCATACTAAAGTTTTGGAAGGAACTTGTGTGTGTATCATATGAAATTTTTCTGGGTGCCAACAGTTTTATTGTATATTTACCTAGAATAGCATGTTTCAGGGCGTCATCAGGAGCCTCTAGAATGGTCTGCACGCCAGAAGATTGCTGTGGGAGCTGCTCGAGGCTTACGCTATCTTCATGAAGAATGCCGAGTAGGTTGCATTGTCCATCGTGACATGAGGCCAAACAACATCCTCATCACCCATGATTTTGAACCACTGGTATGGAGATTTATACTATACAGTTTGAAATAATTTCTTATCTTAATATCAGATGACCATAATTTACATCTGCTTGGATAATCGGTCTTTTAATTCTTTTTGCTACTAAAATAATTTGGCTGTTCTGACTTTCTTGATAGACCATATTTGAATAGGGTCTTTTAGATGCTCAAATTCTGAAATTTGTAGCGCTGTTGATGTTAGAGTTTGAAAAGCAATGGACAATGTTTTCCTTTTCAGGTTTCTGATTAAGAATTTGAGTCTCAGGTCGCATGACATGTGGACTTCACTTGCTAAACTGTTTGATTTCTGGCTTTTATTGATTGATTTATTTATTTATTTATTTTTATTTTGCTAGGTTGGGGATTTTGGCCTGGCAAGATGGCAGCCTGATGGAGATACTGGTGTTGAAACAAGAGTGATTGGAACATTTGGGTATTTATAATTGGTTCATTTACTTTCAAGTTTTACCTTATCAATGCAGTAGCAAAATGCAGTAAGAAATTCTAATTTGCTGCAGGTATTTGGCTCCAGAATATGCCCAAAGTGGGCAGATAACAGAAAAGGCTGATGTTTATTCCTTTGGGGTTGTATTGGTTGAGCTTGTTACAGGACGGAAAGCAGTGGATCTTAATCGGCCCAAGGGCCAGCAGTGTCTCACAGAATGGGTATGCTTTAAGAATCAATTTTTCTATTTGCAGCTCACTTTGGTATTTATAAATTACAGACTTCTCTCTCGCTCTCTCTATATATATATGTGTGTGTGTGTGTTTGAGAGAGAAAGAGAGAGAGAGAGAGATACATGACTGGATAATAAACCATTCGAGTCTTAATTTTTAGGCTGTAGTTTCTTTGATTTTATAAGTTTCATTCTCATTATGCTTTTTTAATTTGGAACAGGCACGCCCTCTGTTGGAGGAATATGCCATAGATGAACTGATTGACCCACGGCTAGGAAATCGCTTTACAGAACAGGAGGTTTACTGCATGCTTCATGCAGCATCATTATGTATAAGGCGGGATCCTCACTCTAGGCCTCGCATGTCACAGGTAAGGAGAAACTTCCAACACGCACATGCACACAGAGTCAAGGTTGTCTTTCCACAGTTGAAATTCATATAGAATCTTTCATCATTTTCTTCAGACATTTGTTGGCTTACAAGTCCTTAAAAGCGTCATATAATTTAGAATTGATTTGTGCAGACAATATTATAGTGGTTTCAAATGATTTTCATTTTCATGGTTATCTATAACAAGAAATTTTCCCTAGTTCAATCCTTAGTCTAAATTATGAATTCCTTGTTGAAACTTAGGAATAGTGGACAGGGATAGGTGATAACAAAATTGTAAGGTCTACATGTCATGGAAAGATATGGACTGTTGGAAAACCTAAGAAACTCCTAATAAGAAAGTGTTTAATTGGATGCAAGATATTAGGTATCTTGTTTGTTGAGGATTTTAGTTATTTTTGTGAACACTTTGTACACATACATTTTCTTGAATTCATTAGGGGTGCCAGTTTCTGTGCTTTAGCTTCTCTTCTTTCATGCTATAACATTCTAGCATATTGGATATTATCACAAGTATTTAGGTCTTCTTTTGTGTAATTGTGTTCCTACACTGCATGAAGGTTCTCCGCATACTAGAAGGTGACATGCTCATGGATGCAAACTACACATCCACACCTGGTTATGATGTGGGAAACCGTAGCGGACGGATTTGGGCAGAGCAGCAGCAGCAGCACCAACATTACAGTGGTCCGCTGTCAAATGAGGCACCAGAAGGGTTCAGTAAGCTGTCTCTGGAGACCCTAAGGCCTGCATTCTGGGAAAGGGACAAGGCCCGGAGGATTTCATGTGAAGATGATGAACTGTAAAGCGTTTTGAAATACAAACTGTATGCTATATATGTCCCTGGCCCCTTTTTGTGATTTGCATTTGGTTTTTGCCTTAATATTTTGGTCCAATGCCATCTAGATTTTGCTTTGTATAGTGGAAGGGAAGTAGGGGGTAGTAGTGTTGTGTAATTCTTTGGTAAATGATAGAAACTCATATTAATTATCAATATGCAATTTTCCTTTAAATCAATGAAGCAGCTTTCGAGGAATTTAATGCTCTTCACTTGTTTATGGGTGCATGTAAATTTGTTTGAATCTTGATATTAGAGCCAGAAGCACAGACAACTGATCTCAGATTTGTCTTACATTAACAAGCAAACATGAACCAAGAAAACAATTAATGAGGGTTGCAGGGAAAACCCTACTCTTAAGATTTTGAGTTTTAAATTTTGAAAATCATAAAAAACAAAGCCAAGCCATAAATCTGATAATGACACGGCATCTTGATTTCAGACACGGTTTTAACTGTTTATTTGGTTTTTGGCTCTTGCTGCCTCGAGCTTTTAATACCAGGGCAGCATTTGATCATTTATGTTATCCACAGGAGCAAGTGGGTTGCTATGTAAATATTGTCTTATCTGGCTATGATGGTGGTTTATGATTTTCAGAGAACTTACCCTGTACTGAATTGTCTTCACTTGACTTTGACATGTCATGGGTTAACTTATTTTTAAAATTTTTTTTCCTACTTCTGCTGATTCTATAACTGCATTCTAAAGCTACGGGTACAATTTGGTTGTGTGTGACAGTTGATTCAGTTTTCATAAACAGATTAATTAATTAATAATAATAATAAATTCATGTGTTCATCCCAAGTCCAAGTTATTGCCAAAAAGTGTTTGATTACCAGTTATTGGCTTATTGCTACTTCAAAAAATAAGTACGAAATGTTTACCAGTGAGCTGATCTAGCTAAGATTTATTTAACATTTGCATAAAATCATCCTTTTCAAAATGTATTAATTATAAATGTCATCAATTTTCATAATTATGTTTTGCGTGCAGTATTTTGAAATTGAATGATTATGATACTCATATTACAACTATTTTTTTTTTCTTTGAGAAACCATTACAAGTAAACTTATTTACTATAAAATTTACGAAAAAAGAAAATTTGTTGTTTACTTAAACTAGCCTTTTCTATTTTTAATTTGTACAAGTCGAAATCAGTAAATTTCTATGCCCATACTAAGGCTAAACCTAGACTCAAGTTCGAATTTCTCTCCTCCATTACTTCAAAAATACAAATGTAAACCACGAGCCAACAAATAATATGAGCGTAAAGCAATTATACCTAAACATATTTTGTTGCTTGATTATGCATAATGAATAACGATCATCCAATCCAGAGGAAATGAAACAACCTATCGAAAGATGATTAATCTTACATCATTGTTGTATATTCATAATTAGAGTCATATCATTTTACAAAGTATTGCTAATCATTGCAAAATGAAGAGAGAAACTAAAAAAAGGATTTCATTTATAAACCCACCGCAATGCACAAGCAACTTTGCTTGTTTAAGAGCAAATGAAAAACCATTAAAGCAGTTGGTATTGGCTTTCTGCAAATGGAAATTTCTCGGTTTTCCTTCATCCCTGATAAAAGAACTTGAGGCAAAAGTTACAAAAAAATTGTTGCATTAAGCAGACGGTTCTCTGTTGGCAGTGTAAAATTGTAGCTTAATTTTCTCCCTGCTAGGGTTTCCTCATTTTGGACCTGGCATATCTGGAAAGCACCAATGAAAGAAGAAGAAGAAGAAGAAGAAAAAAAAAACCAATTAGTGTCGTGCTATGATGAGATATATCCATGTTGAAAGAGCATAAAGAGAGTTAAGAAAAAGTACTCTATGTGCATGCCGCCTCGGTCTGATGATGGTAACAAGGTACCCTGAAGTTCCTCCATGGTTTTCTTAGCTTGGTCAATTTCCTATCAGAAATAGAAAACGTAAGAAAAGATCACTCATGCAAGGTTTCCATGAGTGAATGAATTTTCTGCCGCTGATCTCGATTTTAATAATACGATGATTTAGATACGTTCAGTACAAATAAGCTTCTGTTGTCTACTTAAGGACAAACATCAATGCCCTAGACTATTTAATATAATGGAGCAAGAAACTCGTACAGGTTATAAATAACCAGAGAGATGAATCTTAGAATAGTCAAATGGAAATAGTTCATAAATAAAGATTACCAAGCGACTGGGTAATGGTAATGCAATACAACAGCAATCAACATGCTTATGCGGTCAGAGTCACACTATATTAGTCCAAATCAGTGAACCATGTTATACTAATGGCTTTGCTGAATGAATGAGGCTTTCTCTTGAGTCAGCAAAGCATTCCAAGTAAAATGCAACAGCACCAAGTAGCCATGGAATCATGCATGCATATGTAACCGAACTTTAGTGGATGCAAATAAAGTTTTCCTGTTTTCTTTATTGGATGCATATCTGCTGTGTGTTTTCACGACCCTGGACCAAATGTGGTAGTAATAAAATCAAGTCTTTAAGTGCCAATATTAATACCTCAAAATCAGCAAAGGCAACTGGCATACCACCTTTAGCACGCATTTTCAGCACATTGAACCCCGGATATCTGGAACCAAAAGAATTTTAAGCAATCAAATTCCTTGTTATGTACTAGATGATAATGGCATTATGAATATGGAGCCACTTAGAGAAGAGATGGAAATTAATTACTCCATTTAATACGGAAATAATACCAAAAGAAAAGAAAAAACAAAGAAATAAGAATATAAACTGTAACTTACTGTGAGAGAGTTTGCCTTAGTTCATCTTCAGTGCAATTTGGACCAAGATTAGCAATAAACAAAGTGGAACAAGGATTAACACCTCCTTCTGCAGACTTTTCTAACTGCTCCTGCAGAAAACATTTAATACAAACGCAAAGTCAAAGCATTTGATTGAACTATTGAAGCATGGTCATCAATAAAACAAATTGTTCATAAATGGACAATAGGAAACATGAAGAGTTCAAAGATCCAAAACATGCAAACTGACAGCACAGTGCGAGTAATTTAGTGTATAACTTTCTTTCCATCCTTAGCCTCCCCAGTGAGTTTGATAGTTAAACTTTGCAAACAAACTGCTGAGGCATGGAGCAGGGAGATGGAGATTGCACTAAATATTTTGTCCAACAAACTAATAAACACAATAACCAGTTTATTTTTACATGCTTATGTACCAATTTCATAATTTTAGAGTAGGTTTCAGATGCCCCTCACCGCACAATGAACTAGTATATGATGCATAGAAAAAGAACAGAAGGCAACACAACAAGGTAAGTCTTGCCTTTGGTACCATGCACAGAACACCTACACAAGTATCAAAGCACCTCTTTAATGGACAAAATGAAATGCCATTCACTTACATATGCAGCTACTACAGCACTGTCAGGATCACCAGCTGCCTCACTACACATCAGAAAAAGAAGAAAAACTCAGATGTGCTGAATGGTTTGCAAGTTGCAACAACTTGATGAATCATTATAAATCCATAAGCTAAACAAGTTACTGAAGTCTTCAAACAATTTACGAAAATGCCTTTTAAAGAGTCTCCAACCTTTTTAAGCTCACCAAGTCACCCTGGTTGGCTGAACCAACATTGCCAGCTGCAGGTGCTTCATCAGAGTCACTGGCTCCTGAATGTGGAAATACAGTCCAATGTGAAAGGTAAGTCATACGATCGGGTCCCAGGAACATGCCAATTCATGTGTATAATAATAAAAATGAAATTATTAATAATAATAATGAAATTAAGGAAAGCATGGAAAATGACAGCTAAGGGCATAAACTGCATCTAATGGCTAGCTTATAACTTGAAAGGCAACTTCAACTATGAGCGGAAAGGACAAAAGAATTACATTTAAACTTAGATACCAATTATTAAATATCAATTTAACTATAGATTAACACTTGGTTCATATCAATTTATGTATAAATTAACAAGTACCATCATCACTTGATGTTTCTTGGGCATTAGAGGTCTGTTGTGTTCGTTTATCAATAACCACATAGGCTCCACTCCCTGCATAAGAAAAACTACCGGTTTAGAATCTGATACATATTGGAAACAATCATCTCATATTGGTGAAACAAGCAACCATATTACCTGGTTTACGTTTCCTCCTTGAATTTGATCTGGCAAGTTCTATATGCAGAGTGGACCCAGTTTGAGGATCAAATTTTACACCCTGAACGTAGGGAAACAAAGGGAAATGACAGTAACAAGACAATTTTTCAAAAGCTTCAAACAGAAAGGTACAATCCCTTTCCGTGCAACCATATAACTTAGCTCCAGCAACAATTGAATTAGAGGAAAAAGAGGCAAGCCGTTGGGTCCTTTGATGCAGTTAATGATGTTTTAGTGAGACATGCTCAGATTTCCAGCAAATGCCAAGATCAAATTATACTGATAATTTGGAGTTTGATGCATTTTAATTTGTATGTGAGCAGTAGACTTAAGTTGCTAATGTACAATAAATTGTATAATAACCAAAGCATTTATGCAGTACAATGCTGTAGACCTCCATTATAGTAAAACAAACCCTAATTAATTCAGGACTGAAGTAGGAGAAGTGATGATAAAAGAAAAGATGCTTAATTTATTCTCACGTTTAAAGAGTGCATAGCGGCAATTGCTGATTGGTGATTGAAGAAGGTAGCAAATGCAACAACCTGCAATGAATCAAAGAAACATAAATATTCAAGCTCTTACATTTCTGATTTTTTTTCTTTTTTTTTGAGAAAAGCTCATCACTTTAGTAGAAACTATCTTTATAAATGAAACTCTTTGCAACTTTTGTTATTTGTTGAGAAGAAATTTCTCAGGAAACAAACAGAAAAATTCAGTAATTATTGTTTGTCGGGGAACTAATGCAATTTAGAGGAAGAACCTGGTTGCCACGACCGGTGTACTTGAGCTGGCAAGAGTCAAAACCGGGGCGTCGGCGAAAGAGGTTGTGAATCTCCCGTGGCTTGACATCGTCTGGAAGTCCTGAGACGAAAAGCGTGTTAATTCCGTTCCGGTCAGGCGGTGGTGGTAAGGGTGGTGGTTGCTGCAGCTGGTAATAGGGATCGTAGGTTTGATGAAGATGTGCCATTAATTTTTATTCTATTGGGCTGTTGGAATTTGGAACTTCACGGCTATGATTCACTACAGAACCAGTCGGAAGGTCGCACCGTTGGTGGTGGCCGTAGACAGCCGCAAGAGAGTTTTTACTTTTCAGGGAGAGAATGTAAATTGAAGTGGCATTATTAATTAAAAACAAAATTTTATCCAAAATTCAAAAATTTTATACTCCAAAATTTAGTACTTTCTAATTTGTCATAATGTTTTATTTAAGGCTTTTTTAAGGTAAAGTAATGCAATTTAAGTTTTAGTATTAACACAACATTTAACATTTTAAAATTAATACACTCTTATTGAATATATGAAAAATAAGCCAACTATACAGCTGAATTAGTTCTTCCTTTTACTCTTTACATTCGTATAATTAAAAGAAATTGAATTTAAAATCTCCATCTTTTATATAAATGAAATATCAACCGTATCATATCTGATTATCAATATATACATTATCGTAGGAAAGTATTTTTTAATTAACATTACACATCAATAATATTTCATGGTGATTTATAATATATATATTTCATATTCATATTTCACAATAATCAATAATTAATATGATATCCATAAACTAATTACATCAAAATTATCCCATAAAGGTACACCTTTATATTTATTTTGAATGGAATTTTGTTTCCATACATACAGAAGAGGACATACAAAAATAAGATCTGTAGGATTTTTTTTTTTTGTTGAGTTTTTTTATGAGTATTTTCATATCATTTATAAATGTAAAATTAATCTCATTTTAAAATTTATGATTGTCTCTTATTGTAAATTAAATGGTTTTTTCACGGTTGAAATTTTTAATTTTATAAAACTTACGTATTTGAAACTCAAACGAATTTTAGCATTAGAGTCTTTTTATTATTATTATTATTATTATTATTATTATATGCAATAAACTTTTAATGGATTAGCTGTAATATCTTTATTTAGAATTGTTGCATTCTAATATAATTTCTTTAGAAATCATATTAGAAAACAAGATTGAAAGTATAAATAAAAGAATATTCAAATGTAAAACCAAGAATAGAGAGTTAGTGACAATCATGCAAGTTCCCAAGAAAAAGTAATGTAAAATGGAGAAATAGTGAGCCAAAGAAGACAATCAAAAGCAATTATGTTCTTTCACCCACCATTCAAACCAACCAGCAAAAATAAAATAAAAATGAATAACTACAATCCTATCAATTCCAGAAACTTCAATCCAAAATCAAAATTATTAGAGAAAAAAATACAATAAAATTAGTGATGGGCACCAAATTAACAAACAAACAAAGAAAAACAAATTTGAATTAATCTTTCTAACACCATTAACTTAAAAAATTAATTAAAAAAACATCCCCCACAAACAAAAAAATAAAAAAGACCTCACAAATCAAGAAGAAGAAGAAGAGGAAGCACCACCACCTCCCCCGCCACTAACACCGGCAGTGGTCATTAACCCAGTAGCCTCCTCATCCAAAAACAAATCATCAGTCCTCCTTATGATAGCATGCACCACCACAACCACCACCCCAACAAGCAGCGACACCAGAACATTCAAAGTAACACGGGTCAGCAACAAGAACACTATAGTCAAAACTCCAAGAGCGATCATAACCACCCGATCGTCAATCGTACGGCCAAAAACAACCAACGGTTCATCTCTCAAGAAATACAAGAAAAGCCAAGCAGCCATCATCACTATAAACACTATAAGAGAAATTGGATGCCAAAGAAGGCTCAAGAACAAGATTATTAGTATTATTATGGCGTAGTTCATTCGAAAATAGGCGACGTTTGTCTTGACTCGAACCATAGCTTCTGCTAGACTTGCAGGGAGACCTAAAGAACGGAAATTGAACATTAATTTCCATGGCCTGCGGTATCCTAATCCTTCTTTTATTCTTTCTTTGGCTCGAGATATGTATTCAAGTTTTGTTGTGGCTCCTGGCGAAGTTGAAGTTGGAATCGTGCCGTATGTTGTCATTTTCCGGCGAGATTCCGATGGTTGAAGTGGGAATTTTGAGTCAGTTTTTGAAGTGTTGGTTTCTGTTAGAGGTTTGACCTTCTGGTTTGTGTCAAAGAGAGAACGTGGTAAGTAATCCAAGGGAGAAGGAAATTATGCCAGCTATATATAAATTTTTAAGTAGATTATGATAGGTACTAATTTATAGACTGATTTCAGTAATTTTTTCATAATGAGAACTAATCTGATGGATATAAGTATAATTTACAACGTTAATTCGATTTATTAACGTCTCATTAATAGGAAAAAGCAAACTTTAAATTTGCAATTAATCAATAATTTTGACTTAGGAGTTGTAAATAAGTTTCATTCATACATATAATGTCGGCAACATTTAAATATGAGACTTGAAATTTTTATTGCTTTTTTCTTTGGATTATATTTGGACGTGGCTTTTCAAATACACCTCCAAATAATATTAATAATTTACATTATCAATAATATCAATAGTGATTGTTATTGAACTTCTTTATTAATTGGTATCGGATAGGATTTTGGCATAATTTAAGTTTAATATATATATTTTTAAATAAAAAGTTGATATCTTTACACGGAAATTAAAAATAATATTATTTTATAATTCATTTCTTTAAATTTTAAATAATAACGTAAACATCAATATCTATAGATGCTATATAAATACTAATAAAGATATACACTGTATGAAAAGCTGATGTCAAATGCGTCATATCAGATCTTCGCAAGACCAAAACTGATGAAATGTGTGCTCATTAAAAAAAAAAAAAAAAAAAACATAAAATAAACTTTATCATGAACAGGTATTCACTAAAAATAAATTAAAACCGTTGGATGAATCGTACGGTTGATATTAGTGAGGTACATGGATTTTGATACGCTTGGGAAATATCTGAAAATAATTATTATTATCAGATGAAGGTAGTTGCGGTTAGAGGGCGATGGCCCCAAGATCTAATGAACAACCTTTCAATTCGAACCAAGCATGAGTTGGACTCTTACGCAGACAAGACCGCACTAAGGGAGGAAGGGCCGGCATTGGTAAACAGACGGCAAGTTACCGCCGACGCGGGCCAGCCTGCCCACATGTCATGTTCAGATTACTAGAAAGTTGTGTACAACTTTTTTCCTCACATTGTAAAAGTCATGGGTATCCATTCTAAATCCAAAAGGACAGCAGTTTACACATGGCGCGATGCCAATGCACTTAAAAGAACGCGACCAATTAGGTATTGCCACGTCAGCAACTTAAAATAGGGAACAACGCAGGTTATTGAAGCTCAAGGGAGGGGTCAAAGAGAAAGAGCCATGTGAAGTAAAGTTTTTGGGACTTTTTGTGGGCAGTGTGGTAGCAAATGAAGCGATGTCAAAAGGAAATTATGTGTTTGTATTATTTTAATTTGGTAGCACATGAGGAAAGGAATTTACTTATCATATATTAAAAGACATGTTTCTTTTTCTTGAATGATTGGAGTAATGATTAACAAGAAACCAAAAATTTAGGGAGAAAAAGAAATCAAGAAATGATTTTTCAAGCTTAATTATGGTTTTCTTCAAGTGGGGAATAATTTACATGGTAGGAGATGTTAATATAGTTATGGCAATGCACACTTTATATCGGACAATAATTAAAATCTTAAAATTATCTCATTTACGAATTTTTGTTTCCTTCAGTGAAGTGAAACTATGAAGTAATAATTAATGAAAGAAGATCCGAGAGAAAATAAAAAAAGAACGAAGATATTTAATGCATCAAAGTCAGTGGGGTCGTGAAAAAATCATAAAAGTCTTAAAAGAGTAAAGTGACAAAAACATGAAAAAAACATGATTTAACTAGAATAATGTTGTTCCTGTGAAGAGTGTTTTTGGTTTTGCTTGTAGTATATAAATACATACACATGAGCTTGCATATAATTGGTTTCATATATGATATATCCAACTCATTTGTACCTTATAGAAAGCCCAGTTAGGTGCTAGGAAAATAATTTATTACTAATTGAGCTTAAGATAAGCTTCAAGGTGCTTAATTTTGAGTTTTGATTTCAACAAAAAAATTTCAACAGTCACCAATAGAATAGGAAACAAGTGAGAAAAATATGGATAGTATATTCTATAGTTCAGAGGAAAAGTGAGATTTAAAGAACTTGAGCTTGAAGTGAAATCTTGTTGACAAACTACTTGAAGGTTGCCTCTAAGATTAGCTAATAGCAAAATGGAGAATTTCGCAAGTTTTTCCAAAGCTACTTCCAACACATTCAATTGCATTCTAAGTTATTCATTTGCTTGTGTTAATTTGTAACTTCACACACTTACCTACCTTTATATACTATTTCTAATCAACCCAATTCTTCCAAATTAGAACTCAATTGACAATTATCATCTCCTATTCTTCATTTTCCTTTCTCCATCTTTGAAGAGGATAAATTGTTCTAAGACCAATAGAAATGGAAGGAGAGCAAAAGTTCCTCCATGGAACAATTGAAGTTACAATTTTTGATGCAACACCTTATACACCTCCATTTCCTTTCAATGTAAGTATTGATTTTTTCTTTTAAAAAATTAGTATAAATAATCCTAAAATATAAGAACAGATGTGCACTCGACTATTAAATTAGTTTGAGTTCTCGAATGATATATTAAGTATGATTTTTCTCTCTAAATTAGCTAAAATTTGTATAAGATTGGATGTCTAGATTAAATTAAATGGTATTAAGAGGAAGTAATTGACATTTTAATTATTTACCTGACAAAGTTTCCAAATTCTATTTTCTAGTGTCTATTTATGAATCCAAAGGCTGCATATGTGACCATCAAGATAGACAAGAAGAAGGTGGCAAAGACGACTCATGAAAGTGATCGTATATGGAACCAAACATTTCAAATTCTATGTGCTCATCCTTTAGATTCAATCATTACCATTACTTTGAAAACAAAATGCTCAATCTTCGGAAAATTTCAAATCCAAGCACACAAAATCCTCACCCAAGAAACCTTCATTAATGGTTTCTTTCCACTTCTAATGGAAAATGGTAAGCCAAATCCTGAAGTCAAGCTCAGATTCTTGTTATGGTTTAAACCAGCAGAAATCGAACCAAGTTGGAGAAAAATACTCAGCAATGGTGAATTCCAAGGACTTAAAAATTCTACATTTCCTCAGAGATCGAATTGCCATGTGACACTTTATCAAGATGCTCACCATCTCAATACCTTTCAACCTCCGCTTGCTCTTTGTGGGTCTCCAAGAAAATTATGGGAGGATGTTTATAAAGCCATTGATGGTGCAAAGCATTTAATTTACATTGCAGGGTGGTCTTTCAATCCCAAGATGGTCCTAGTAAGTGAAATCCTATAGCAACACCATTTTCTTTTTTTAACTCTTGCTTGTAATTATTACAAGCCAAATGAGTCGAAATAATATTTGAGCTATAAAGCAAGGGGCGACCCTCCCCTTTGAATAATTCTCACTAAAATGATGAAAACTCATGCTTACGGAAAGATGAAATTGAGACTCACCATACCATATTTGATTGAACTAATATTAGTGAGACTTAATATTCAACAAGTTAATGTTAATCTATGCAGGTAAGGGATCCTGAAACAGAAATCCCACGTGCAATAGGAATAAAGCTTGGAGAGTTATTGAAAAGAAAAGCTGAGGAAGGTGTGGCAGTTAGAATTATGGTTTGGGATGATGAAACTTCTTTGCCTATAATCAAGAACAAAGGAGTAATGAGAACTCATGATGAAGATGCATTTGCCTATTTCAAACACACAAAAGTAATATGCAAATTATGTCCAAGATTACACCATAAGTTCCCTACTTTGTTTGCTCATCATCAGAAGACTATAACAATAGATACAAGAGGAAGTGATTCGATAAACAATGATAGAGAAATCATGAGCTTCGTTGGTGGTCTAGATCTCTGCGATGGTCGATTTGACACAGAACAACATTCTTTGTTTCGAACATTAAATAAAGAATCACATTTTTGTGATTTCTATCAAACGAACATTTCTGGTGCTAGTCTTCATAAGGGAGGGCCAAGAGAGCCATGGCATGATACACATGCTTGTATTATTGGTCAGGCTGCTTGGGATATACTAACTAATTTTGAGGAAAGGTGGAATAAACAATTTGACCCTTCTTTATTAATCCCTACTAATTCTATACCAAATCTCATCCACCAATCTATTTCTTCAAGCATTTCCAATGCTAGAAATTGGAAAGTTCAAGTCTTTCGATCAATTGATCATGTTTCAGCAACCTTAATGGCAAAACACATGAAAGTGGAGAAGAGCATTCATGAAGCTTATGTAGAAGCAATTAGAAAAGCAGAAAGGTTTATCTACATTGAGAACCAGTATTTTATTGGAGGGTGTCATTTGTGGGATAAAGATAAGCATAGTGGATGTAGAAATTTAATTCCTATTGAAATTGCACTTAAAATAGTGACTAAGATTAAGGCAAAAGAGAGATTTGCAGTATATATTCTGATACCAATGTGGCCTGAAGGGGTTCCAGAGAGTGAACCTGTTCAGGATATATTGCATTGGACTAGACAGACGATGGCAATGATGTACAAGCTGATAGGAGAAGCATTGCAGGAATCCGGCGAGCCGGGCCATCCAAGAGATTACTTGAACTTCTTTTGCCTTGCTAATAGGGAAAAAGAGAGCAAAGGAGAGTTTGTTCCTCCATATTCACCCCATCCTTCAACACAATATTGGAATGCACAAAAGCACAGGAGATTTATGATTTATGTACACTCCAAGCTCATGATAGGTATGTTGTTAATCTTGCCTCTCCTCCTCTTTTATTTCTATAGACCACGAACCCATATTGATAACTTGTGATTATTCACTAATTAATTACTTTTTTTTCATGATTTGCGAATTTATTTCACAGTGGATGACGCGTACATATTAATAGGATCAGCAAATGTGAATCAAAGGTCAATGGATGGGCAACGAGACACTGAGATTGCAATAGGGTGCTTCCAACAAGAAAATGGGAAAAACAAGATTACTACTAATGATATAAAAGCATACCGTATGTCATTATGGTATGAACATACTGGCCTAGCAGTAGAAACATTCCAAAATCCACAAAGTTTGGAATGTGTCCAAAGAATTTATACCTTAGGGGATATAATGTGGAAAGTTTACAGTTCTGAAGAAGTTATAGACATGGAAGGTGTGCATTTAGTAAATTATCCAGTTAATGTGACAAAGGATGGTCTTGTGGAGGATCTTGTTGATGGAAATAGTAATTTTCCTGATACAAAAACCCCAGTCAAGGGTAGGAGGTCAAAGATTCTACCTCCTATTTTCACTACATAGTTCTTAAGAGAGATAATAATGGATTAATTGCTAATTAAGTTAAATGCTAGTTCATCAATGGTATGATATTTTTTAATATTTGACTCCTCTGTGTTTTTATATTTTATTTCAGTAGTGTAGATAAAGTTCATGTCAAATGGGTTCTATCTATTTCAACGTAGCTAGACTGAAGTGATGTAAAGGATTTGAAATGTCAATAATTGAAAGAAGCATTATGAACATGCAGACAAATTAATTTATCCCAACACATTATTGATATTCTTGCCCATGACAACCAAATCCTGTCCCTCAATTATCTACTCTAGAGGGACATTACTATGGGTAGAATTTAATTATATATATCTATAAAGATATAGTTAATTGAATTGATTAATTCATATAATATTTATCAACGTAATGAATATTATTTAAGAAAATATCAAATTGTACTAAGGTTTAATCCACTTAAAATAAATTTTCTTTATAAACAGAAGTTTTGTCTCCTTGGAAACTGATTTAGCTTTATTATAGTCTATTGGTTGTCCTTATGAACGAGTGAAAAGAAAGAACAACTTCTAATTGATGCTTGATTGTTAAGAGGAAATTTGAATATTGTGACATTGTTTTGACAGCCACAAAAGTTAACATCATTTTCATATTCTTCCCTGAAGATAAGTTGCTGACTCAACTTGTATTATTATAATATTGAGTCTCATAAGGATTAATTCTGAGGCAAGAATGTCAATTGATCAAATACTCGATACACACAAGGAAAAAAAAAAAAAAAACATTATTAAATAATCAGTGATAGAGATTATCATGTTCTACTTCAATTATGATACTCTTTACAATCAGCGGCGGATTAGAAAAAAGTTTTTTTTTTCTAGGGTCAATATATAATTTTACAAAGAAAAGACGGGTCAAATGAAATTAATTTTTCCTAATTTTAAAAATACAGTCATTAAATTTTCCTATTTGTCAATTCAAAAGTTTTGTCATGATGGTTACTGAAACGGCAAGCAACCTGTCTAGAGTGTGTTTATTTTGATTGTGGATGGTGTTTGTTACAAAACGACAATTCTCTTCTCCCTATTATCTATCCATGAATTGTTAATTATTTCCAAATATGGATTCAACGGGCAGCTCTCTACAGGTCTCTCCATCTATTTTTCTATTTTACAATTTGTACACAGCTTAGTCTTGTTCTAGCTTAAACGTATAGAAATGACGCAAAATAAAGAACCCACCAAGACTTTTATGTTTTCTTTGCTTTTCCATCATTAATTAGCTAATCTCTATGTTCTATGGTTTGGAAATGATTTGATAAGGGGTCAAGCTATTTGACGATACATGCAAGACTCTGTTCAGTGTTTAAAGCAATAGGAGAAGCTGTGATCTCTAGTTTTGTTGGTTGCTTTATTTTCTACACTTCAACTCCAAAACTCCATTGTTATACCTTCAACGACCTCAATCATATTGCTAGCAGAACTCTATGTTTGTATCTTTGCCTCTATGAATATGCATATGTTTTCTTTGTGATAATTTCTCTGTTAGATTTGGATTTTGAGATTTTTTTTTCTTTTTTTTGGGGTGGTGGGTGCTGTCACAGTTACTGTCAATGAGGTGGAGGCTTTGCTTGAGCTGTTCAAAAAGCTGAGTAGTTCAATAATTGATGATGGCTTTATACACAAGGTATCTCTCTCCCAATTACAATTCTGTTATAGAAGATACTCCTACCTAAAAATTAGTGTAAACCAAGCATGTTTACAAAGTTAACATTATCCTTTGCCAAATATTTTTACCAGTTAAGAGATTGCGTTGTTCTTTTCTATTCGTTTATCATTTACAGGAAGAGCTTCAATTGGCACTACTGAGAACTACAGCCGGCAAAAACATTTTCTTGGACAGGGTAAATTCCCCATGGCAACCTCTCATTATGTAATGATAATTCTACCACCTCAATCCTTCATTTTCATTTTATTGATCTGATACAGTTATTTGATATTTTCGATGAGAAGAAAGAAGGTGTTATTGATTTTGAGGAATTTGTATATGCATTCAATGTTTTTCATCCCCGAGCCTGTCTAGAGGACAAAATTGATTGTAAGTTTTGGTGGGATCGTTTCAGTTTCTTCATTTTATTCAACATTTAATGTTAAAATAAGTTGGTTTAGTTCTTTGTTCCTTTGGGTTTAATGCAGTTTCATTTAGGTTGTATGATTTGAGACAGACGGGATATATCGAGAAGGAAGAAGTGAGTATCTCTACCATTTGCAGTCCAGTAGCTGAAGTTAATATGAACTGGTAAATTTAGCTGTTGACTTCTTTGGTAGTTTTCAGGTCAGGCAAATGTTAAATGCCACTATGTTGGAATCTGGCTTACAGCTTTCAGAGGAACATCTCGAAGCCATAATTGAAAAGGTGCAGAAAGATTTTCCTTTCCAAACTATGCTTTCTTTTAAGTATCATCGATTTCTTTATCTTTAAAAATAATAATGATAATAATAATAAAAAAAAAAAGCTTTGAAGCTTGAATTTGTGTCCGTTAATGGTGACTACTTTCTTTTCTCAGACATTTGCCGATGCCGATGTCGACAAGGATGGTAAAATTAACAAAGAAGAATGGAAGGCATTTGTTATTTTGCACCCAACCCTTTTGAAGCACATGACTCTTCCTTACCTGAAGTAACACATTTCATATATATACCTGAAGTAATCACATTTCCATATATAATATATATATATATATATATTAGTAAGTATATATGATATTTAACTTATTATTGTGTAAACGATGTTTTCGTTTGACATCTGACATAATAGTCTGTACACGTAATATGTCTGCGTTATTTATATATTTAACTTATTATTGTGTAAACGATGTCGTTTGACACTGACAATAGTCTGTAACTGTAATTATGTCTGCTTATTTTGCAGGGACATCACCACAGTGTTTCCGAGTTTTATTTTCAACACTGAAGTTGCTGACTAAAGTTTTGGCACCAATTTTCTTCCGAAGCAACTGATAAAGAAGTCCAATTGCAGATGGCAAACTAGCTTCCAGATTTGCCACTGTTTATTTTACATCTTCTACTGCTGTATATTTGATTAAATTGCAGATGGAAGAGGGGTTTTACCGCTGTACATTTGATTAAATTGCAGATGGAAAAGGACAAACCCTTCTGCATATATTTATTTATTTATTTTTGTTCACAGCTAAATTGCCAAAATTGTATATATATCATTTGAACCATGTACTCTCATGTTCCCAAATATTTGTCCCTTTTGAAAAAGTATTACATTCCCAAATACTTATTATATTTGTGAATTTTACAAATAATAAATTATTTTTTTATTTCTACCTTTGTATATAACCAATAGCGATTGCTTCATTTCCTCAATAATTTATTATAACGTAAACAAATTAAAAGTAGTAACAGTCAATTCATTCAATAATTTATTATAATTTAAACTAATTAAATAATTTTCTTAAAAAACTTAAAAAACATGAAATTGATTTAGACATTACAGCTACCAGCATTTTGATCACCTGCATAGTCCTAAATGAATAATGTTTCCCTGACAAGCACATGGAAGGGTGGGTCAGGTAGGAATTGAATTATTAAAATAGCATGACTTTGGACCAACTGTGTCCCATTCCATGTCAGTTACATTTGTCTTCAGCATTCTAGTTAAGGGCATGATTTTACATTCAGTTGAATTCTAATAGGATCGAAGAGAAGGGCATGAAGTTGATGGTGAAGAAGAAAAGAGGAATAGAAGAATTTTAATTCAATCAGATGTGCAAGAGAAGCCTAAGCAGTCAATTTCTGCCATCCAAATTATGAAAATTCTACAAAAATCATCTAGTCCATTGGAAAAATAAAATATGATAGCACATTTGCATTCCAGAAATCATTTGCAGACTTACCATTTAAGAAATAAATATGGAAGGGCATGAAATGAAGTTTAACATTAAAAAACATATTTACCAGCTAATATAAAATGAGAGCTCCAAAATTGAACATTCAGAGAGAATTAAACCATCAAAACCTCCAATCAAATATAAGTTGAAAGCAGAACAAAATCTAGGATGAATAGAAAGTAATATAAACACGAGGAATGAACTTCACTCAGTGGTAAAACTCCTAATTATTCACAAGTCATCAAGGAGTTAGGAAATCATCTCAGAAATGGTAAAATAAAACTATGGCCAACAATGCAGCGAAGTTGCACAAAAACTATTTACCATGAAATTATAAAAACCAGAAAGCAAATAATAATCCTTATGGGTGTGTGCACACGTGAACTTATAGTTCTGAAACTCAATAATTTTTATAAAAAAAGAAAAAAAAAAAGCTTTTCTAGATATCAAAAAAATAATGGAAACCAATTCCTAAAATGATGATGACATCAAATATGGTGGCAAACATGAAAGAGGTAAGTTATTCTGTTGGTTGTAACTTTACAACAAACGTTATTTTGAAAATAACTCCCATTTGTTCAAAGTGAACTGAGTTGAACTGAGAATGCCGTTTTCTATTATTATTGCTCCTTAAAAACGAAGCATGTTAGTAATCCTTTTTCTCTTTTAAGTAGTCCTGAAGGCCAAAACAACCTCTTTCAAAGAAATACAACAAAAGACAAAAACCTACCTACTGTGATTTTTGGTTTCTGCAGCAATCCCTCAGTGATCCAAGTGGGTGGGAGCAGTTTCAAGCTGCCTCATGGGGTGGGAGGCTAGTCCAGGAAAGGCAATAGTGATAGAGCATACCTGACTTTTTCTGCCTTTTCATAGCCAGTTTTCCACCTGCAGGGCAATAAGAAAAACATAGTTAAAACAAATCCAGGAATTGCAACTTCAATTGACATTATAAAAAGGAAGCAACAATCATATTATTCATAAATTATCTTAGGAGTCAATTGACATTAATAAAAGGAAGCAACAATCATAAATTATTCATAAATTATCTTAGGAGAATCTGACAATAAATAAAGATACGCATAATAAACTGCCTCAGGAATCATGAGCTCGCTTTCAGCTTATATAATGCCATACAACAGATGTATTTTGTAGAAACGTCATTTTACTGAACTTCACGCCCGCCAGACAACACTCCCTCTAAGGTTGACACTTCCATCAATCACCACATTAGAAAATCTAAGCAAAAATCACAAATCTTGTCTTAGTAATCCCATGAGCTCGCTTCAGCTTATATAATCATACAACAGATGTATTTGTATAAAACGTCATTTTACTGAACCTTCACGCCCCCAGACAACACTCCTCTAAGGTTGCACTCCATCATCACCAACATTAGAAATCTAACCAAATCACAATCTTGTCTTAGTATCCTCCTCATAGCATACAGATTTCCTTGGCCAAAATCAACTAGCACAGTTATTAAACCAAAGAACTTGAAATATTGCAGCTGCAAATCCAACTTCTCCCTGGATCATTAATGTAACAAAGCATCTTCCATCTAATTTTCAGCAAGAAGGATTTAAAATAATGATGTATCCATTATTACACTAACCAAAATCTATTGCTGACAGTCAGAAGCCGGGACACAAGTCCACCCTTAAGGGATTTTCCTTCAAAGTCGGTCTAAAGACGAGGTAATAAAAGTCAGCCATTAACTCAGAAAGAAGGGTAATCAGCCTGCAGCCATCCTTTTCAAAATAAAAGCATGCTGACTTGCCCCAGATTTAGTTTAGGAGGATTTAGTTTATTACTAGCCAGTTTCCAGACATCACATACCATAAAAAACCTGGTCCTTCTGAACACAACCTGACACTTCCAAGGCCTATGTACATAAAGAGTTCTAAAGAACAGGTAACAAACATTAATCTTTGCAAAATGCTTAGCACCTTTGTTGAACCAAACTCAAACTGTAGCCTCCTAATGAATTTGATATGTTCAGCATCTACTGCCAGATCCAGCCAATGTGATTGGAATGTGCATCCATGACAACAAGCACTTTCTCCAGTCCATAACATGGCCAATTGAAATACATCGTGCCATAAAACAACCAGAATCATCCTTTCCTTATTCAACCATCTCATTCACACTCGTAAACAGCATTCTCAAACAGGCGTTCCCACTTTCCATAACTGTCTACTGGCCTTATAGAGATAACGATGTACTTCAAAAACATCAAATCAACCATTCAGATAAACTAGACACATTACCTTATGGACTAATTATTTCCTATTCCTAGCAAGAGAAGCCTAAATGTGTTCTAATCTATCATGAAAACAAGCATCAAAAGGAGACCATTAGAACCTTCTATTATATAACCACAGACTAGTGGAGCCTAGCTAATGCCATCTCATGTCATCCTTGATAATAGATTAGTAGCTATCAGTCCAATTAGATAGTTACATAAAAATTGTTATAGGACGGTTCACAACTCAAGATAGAAGTACCAGTCCAATTTAGATAGATGTACAGAAATCCTTCAGCAGGAGTGCACATCATCCAGTTCCATGTTGTAGTAAAGATGTGGGCAATTCTAAACATGTCCATACTTACTCTGTGAAACTACTGACCTTATAGACTATCAAACCAGCCAGATGTGATAAGTTAAGCACCTACAGCTCACTACCTATAAATTCATGAATCTAAACTAACCATAACCATCAATTTATGATATGACAACAGGAAATAAGCAAAATAAAAAATTCATTAAATTAGCTTAAAGAAAAAGGCGCTTTAGATCCGTGAAATCCATATAACAGAGACAGAATACTTGCCTATGAAGTATTAGTGGTCAGCCTCTCTTCACATGCATGCCCATTGTCCTTCAGAATTCCAAGGTCATTTTGATGCATGAAGCAGCAGCTTGTATACATGCAGGTGGCCATTGTTTATACCTCAACTACTGAATGATGGTGCAGAACAAGCCAAATGAAGGATTAGAAGGTGTAAACTGGAGAGAGGGTTGTGTGGATATCAAATTACCACAGGTGGGCAGGAAAACTAGGCAAATTTTGGTTAGGAGGGTATAGCTTCATTCCAACATGCAAGTATTACGATGCCACTTTCCAATCCACAATCTTTTTCTAGTTTTAAAACAATGAGATGGATCCACAATACATCCATCCAAGATCTCGGGATATATATCATATACCACTTCTATTTTCAGTCACCTACTGCCTGTCTGTCAAACCCAACTAAATCAACTGGTGATGACAACAATACATGTGATCACCCATCCTCCAAAAAGATAACTTAAGGAAGGAATCAACCAACTCTTATACCACTTAATTATAAACTATAATCTCCTGCAGTTCAAATAATCTTGTAAAGCCTAACTAGTAACCAAATCATGTAATCTACCAGTTTATATACACAGAACTCAGCTCCATGTTCTATTGAAAATGCACACAACTTCAAAAATTAACTACAAAAATCTAAACCAACAAAGGGAGTGGCAGGAGCAACACCTAATTAGAATTTTTCCTTCATCCAGTATGGTCAAAAGATCTGCTTTTAAGTACAGTTTTCAACATCCAAGAATTGTACATGATGGTCCAATAAACAGAATACAGAAATAAGAGCAGCTACAATCATTCCAGCAAATCTCTACATAACAAACACACTTTTATGTCCCTTTGACACTTCCACTACTTTAAATGCTACTGAAAGAAATCTTTAAAGCTAAACACTTCACAGTGACCAATCAATAAGCTTCCATCATGGATTGAGCTAACATACTTCAAACATTACAAAAGGTGCAGCTCAAGCAATAAGAACATATAAAAACACATAAGAGATGGCTCATGAAAGTCTTATCAATAACAAGAACCTGAATAGTTCATCAGAAATTCCTTTATAATCAACTGAAGGAATGTCAAGGAAAGCACAACCAACCGACAATCATAGTGCCTTCGGAAAATTATTCATCCGAGGCACTTCTATTCATTTTAATATTCTAAGTTGAATAGCTTGCTTCCATACCACATGATTAGACTATATATCTTTTAATAGAAGTTGCTATAAATACTGGTGGACTAAAGACATTTTCAGCAAGATTAACTCCCGATAGATATAAAGGTGTTCAATCATTATGTACTGAAACCAAATGATATAATCTCCTAAAAAGAATGGCTCCCGTATCCTATTCATGTCACACAGAATGACATGAAGAAAGGATATAACACATCAAGCAACAACAATAACATGATCTATCCTCACAATATATACAGCAATCACCAAATTCGCCAGCCTACAGCATTGCATACAAATTCCAAGCATGATATACACTAGGACACCTATAAATAAAATCGAGTACATGTTTCTTTAACAAAAAGAGTTAGGTGCATGATTGGGATTCCATCAGCTGCACAATTGTTCCATAGCTATTAGTATTACACAAAAGCATTGCAGGCCTCCTCACAGTTCAGCCAAAAAGTGAGATGATTTTAGATCGGCATTACAGATAGAAACCTTATATTCTCCTTGTATGTCCACCACTGAATTATAGTTATGGATCCCAGGCATTAAAAAGAGAAGAAGAAGAAGAAGAAGAAGAAGAAGAAGAAGATATTTAAGATGCATTTGGCTTCTACTAGAGCAGAAAATCATATAGCTCAGCCAGCAAGCACATAAATTATAGATGTAAAGAGGCAAGCACACAAAGATAAAACTGCAACATTTCAATCCATATTTCTATAATATTAAATTGGATTTAAAATAGAAACCACAGAGTCTACCAATTAATAAAAAAAAAAACAATAAATCCTACTCAAGTCAGTTTAGAATAACTAACAATGTATTCAGATAAAAGACCAGTGGCATCCACACAAAGATGAAGGACACTTCTTGCCTACTGAGATATTGGACAGGATAAGAAGCAGTCACATGAACAGCTTTGCCCTTCTTGAGTTGAATAACAACCAACCATCTAGCGACGAGGCACACGAGGCTTGTCCCATGAAGGACCAGGTCCATATAAAGGACCCTTGTCAGCACCAACCTGAGCAAAAACAAGAGAATCAAGAAAAGAGAAACCAGATGAACCCTAATCCATAACCCCGAAAAGAGAAACATGATATAAAGGGGGTGGTGGATACAAATGAAGAGCCATAATGCAAATTACTGAAAAAGAGAAACCAGAATCATAATTATAAGCCACATACCATGTGAACCCCATATCTATCCCCATAAGGTGCTGGGAAATTAGCCTCCGGATTACTGAACTTCATCCCATACGGTCCACCTTGAATCATCAAAGATCAAGATAAAGAAATAAGCAACATATAAATAGAAATGGGCACATCAGCAAGACAAGGAAAAGTCTTTCAAAGAAAAAGGGATATTCTGTTAAGTCACAACTAAATAAAAGAGACCTGCATGGAAGAAAAATATAAATTGAGGTGATTTTCAAGACTTGCTAAAGCCATTACAGTGACTACCCATAATTAAATTTATGATAAATCTACTAGCAGAGAAGAACATGATTCTCTTCATCAAACAACAAAAAACACTGAAATTGTTATAAGCGAAAACATAACTTAGAAAATAGGTAAGCTTCAACGCAAATTAACAAGGACAGGGAAGTCCAAGACAACATGGATGGAGAGTGGAAGAAATCAACTAATGCAAAAAAATTCGTGTACTCCGTTAGGCACAGGTATACCAGGAACCCAAGGCCGAGCATCAGTACTAGCAAGTTCAGCCCTTAGCTTTTCAACTTCACGTGCCATGGAAACCATGTTCTTCTCCATTGCCTGTCTCTGCTCCACCAACTCCATGTTTGCCTTCTTTTCATAATCAACAGCAGTTCTGAAACATAAGATCTTGATTTAGCATTTATTTGGATGCTTCATTACAAATTTGATGCTGAATTTTGAAACAAAATGTTTTGAAATAGAACAAGTGCTTTGGGCAGGAAAAATTAAAATGGAAAGAAAACTATCGACAAAAATGAAACCGAGCACAGACCTAGCATGCATCAGCTCCTGGTGGAGGCCCTCAATCTCACCCTGTAAAAGAGGAATCTGTTGATTATCAGCTTGCAATCGTGAAAGATCTTGTTTGAGGGTCTGAATTTGCCCAAGGAGATCCTGCTTCACATTATTCAGTTTCTGAACTTCTGCACGGAGCTGTACAGACTCATTCTTCAAAGGTTCAGTTGCGCGAAGATCAGCTTCCAGCTTCAAGCCTTTCTCAATAAGTTCCCTTGAGCGCACTTCTTGTTCATTACGAATTTCGGCAATGATGAGATTCATACGATGAATTTCTTCCTTGGCAGCACCAAGCTCTTGCTGCAGAGCCATTCGATCTTCCAACAAGCGACGATTATCAACCAGGAGTCCATGGATTTCAGCGTGCTGTATTTCAAGTTCATCCTCCAACAAAGCAGGGTGAGGAGGAGGATGTGGCAAAGGAGGGCCACGAATGAAAGGTCTCTCAGGTGGGAAACCACGCCTGCCATTATGGGCATCACGAGGAATGCGGTTTCTACCAGCCATTTTAAGATCTGCAAAATATATGCAAAGCAATAAAATGATGATATACTATACAAAGGCACTCCATGCTAAATTTAGTATTAAGTGCCTCTATGAGGCTTATCTAGATAAACTGCCATGGGATCAACTCATCAATGTAGAACTTTACAGTCAAAGCGAAGGGAAGGAATACAAAAGAGATGGACTATGGTAACCAATCCCCTCATAATGCAAATCATACAAACTTTTCCTCAGAAATCCACAACTACCTAAAATGCACGTCACTATAAGTCATTTTCTGAAACCCTGAGAAAGAAACTACATAATAGCTCCATTTTTCTTTAACCATGCTGATGCTAGATCCAACAATTTTTAAGTTTCCATCAGATCCCCAAACCACGCAGTTCACCTAGTATCAAAATAAGAATGAATTATCATCACTAGAAACCCCACTAGGATCAACAGAATGCCAACTATCACAGGGCTTGATCAACTATCCAATTTAAAAACAAACCTAGTATCAAAATAAGAATGAATTATCATCACTAGAAACCCCACTAGGATCAACAGAATGCCAACTATCACAGGGCTTGATCAACTATCCAATTTAAAAACAAATCGAAATCCCATCCAAATGATTATAGATAATCTCCCTCCCTCCAATATCTGCATGAAGTATATTCCTCCAGGTAACATAGTAGTGAAATTTAGATTAACAACAAACAGGTCCATCAAAGAGAACAGTACCATATCTAACAACTACCTAATCTAGAGGAGCTTAAAATGGGATTATACGGAATCAACATCCGACTTACAAGACACAAGCATTCCAAACAATTTGCAAAAGTCCCACTCCAAAAGTTTTGAATTCATTGTCCATTTTCAACTCCAAAACAGTAGCATACAAAACCAAGAAACATTACCTCCCTTGCTATTACATTTTCAATTCCTAAGACGGCCAAAAATACCCAAAAAAAAAACCCTACTGAAATTACACCAGACGAATCTTCCATTTATATCTGAAGTTTGGTCCTAAATAATTTTTAAAAAATCCAAAAATCTGAATTAATAAAGTTCTACTAACAAAGAAACAAATACAAGAAGGGTATCTAAACCTGTACTGGGATAAACTTTTGCATGAAATTAAGCGAAATCCAAATTCCGATTTCTAAACAATATAATAAAATTAATAACAACACATAGAATTAAAATCAGCAAAAACAAAGGAAATAAAGAAGATAAGAGAAAAACAGAAGATAAAATACCGAGATATGAACAATTATTGAACAATAACAATGAAATACGCCAAAAAAAAAAAAAAGAAGATAGAGAGAAGCGAAACCTGTGAAAGATGATAATTTAAAAAGTTCGTTTCGTGTGTGTGTTTTGAGGGCTTTGATCGAGATTTCTTCGAATAAAGAGAAGAGACCCGCACCAGCTGCTTGTTTTTGGTTCACTCCAGGTCCTGCCTATTCTTTTGTTTTTTTTTAACCAAGAAAGAGAAAGAAACTACACATTCTGCGTAAATTCAACTGCGTCGTTCAGGACTTAGCTTGGTCTCCGTTTGGGCCCTTGTACTCGCGACTTTCGAAAAGATGAAATTGCAAAACCAAGTTTTGGGCTTCAGCAAATGATAAACATTGGGCCGAAGGGGCTCATTTATATGTAACCCTTATTTGAGCCATAAACTAGGCAGGCAGGCCAGTAGAGAGTTCTGTTTTTTCCTTTCTTCTTAAAATAAGGATTTTTTAATACACAACAGTTGGATTGGAATCAAAAGAAAACAATATTTCAATAATAAAAATTTGTTGTATGAAAAAAAAAAATAATTAGTGGGAGCAACGAAAAATTCAAAATTTACAAGAGGTGAAGTAAAAAAAAATTACTAATTTATAGGTAAAAAATAAAATTTTATATATTTTATAAGGGTAAATTTAAAAGAACATAATATTAAGAGGCAGCCACCACTGTTGCCCACCGCAGTTGTGTGAAACCCTGATTTAATTGGTTACATTCGGTTGATTGCAAAGTTGGTTTTGTTGGAAGCAACTAATTAAGGAAATAACAAATAATGCCTTGTAAAGGATACTTATTTGCTCAAAAATGGGAGAAAGTTGGAGTTTTATGATTTTGTCTTTGCTCATGTCTAAAAAATGATTTTACTGTCTATCATAGGAAAGTTGACAATGACGATGTTACTCATTTTATTGAAAATATTTCGCTATTGTGTTTTCATCGTCCTAAAGATGGTTTAAATCTACTTAAGTCCTATGAATTCTCAACTGGTATTCCGAACGTTATAGAAAAATTCTCTTGTGCTTCTGTAACATCCTCTTGAGTTGAGTTGGGTTGAACCAAACCTGATTTGGATTGAATGAGAGTAAGTGGACTTATTTGCATGAAAAGTTTAGGACCGGCTTGCATGGATTGAATGAGAGTAAAGTGGAACTTATTTGCAATGAAAAGTTTTAGAACCGGCTTTGCATGAGGACATACAGCTTGGTATTTTTAGTTGTAAAACCATTATAATTGAGGTACCAATTGTAGAAACTTTTGGCAATAAAAAATCATGCAACTCCAAATTGAGTGATTCAAAAACCCACGTAAAGCTAACACATAGAGGAACAAATAACTCTTCTATGAGACTTCCTAATTCCATCATTTAATAAGGTCACAATCAAGATGAAGTTGCTGGTAAAATTTCCAGCAAACTCTGTTTCCACTTCATTGATTCATCCCCTGTTTTCACATCCTTTCCACTTCTTTCATTCAACAATAATCAACACATGCTCTCATAAACAACACTCCATACAACTAAGACAGCAGAAAAAGGAAACTAAAACAGAGTTCAAGCTTTTTGAAGTCAAGGTTTGATATCTCTTGTTAATTCCCATGTTCTTTGCATGAAAAATTGTATGGAGTGTTGTTTATGAGAGCATGTGTTGATTATTGTTGAATGAAAGAAGGAAGGAAGGGATTGGAAAATGATTATGGAAAACAGGGGATGGAAGTGAATTATTGAAGTTTATGTTGAACCAGAGTTTGCTTGGAAATTTACCAGCAACTTCATCTTGATTTTGACCCTATTTAAATGAATGGAATTAGGAAAGTGTCATAGAAGAGTTAATTTGTTTTTCCTATGGTGTTAGCTTTACGTGGGTTTTGAATCACTCATTGAAGTTGTATATTGAGAGTTATGGCCAAATAGAAACAGACTGGGCACAATCTCGGAAATACGTCGCGCGTCGCGCGGTCTGGAAAAAGCATCTCGCGTCTCTGCGACTTTCACATGCGCGCGACCTTTGGCCACGAAAAACTCTCCTGACTCCTCAAATGGCACATCTCGCGCTCGTGAACTTCACATGGCGTTGGAACTATCGCCAGAAGCTCCTAACTCGCAGGTTGCGCATTTTCGCGAAATCGCGAACTCCCAAAGCCCGCTCGCGATTCATCCTCGCGGCTCGCGGACTTGTGCTGCGCGGTTGCGACTTGAGCCTATGAAACTCTCTGACTCCTCGATTGCCTCTCTGACTCTCAATTGCACTTTGCGCGCTCGCAAGGTTTGAAGACGCGCTCGCGACTTCTCCTTGGGAAGCATCTCGCGCTCGCGACTTGTCCCTGTGCGCTCGCGACTTGTGGTTTCATGCATTTTGGACTTCATTTTCCATACAATTACATTCCTTTGCTCAACATACATGCATCCAATCATTGTAAAACAAAAATATAATATAAGAACATGGATTCAAACAACATGTAAGCAAATTTTGGTATCAGAGCAAATCAATATGATGAACTATGACGTTGTGAAACCATTTATGTGCTATTGTGTTACATTGTTGACATGCTAATCTTAAGCTCCATTGAGGTTAGGTGAAACCGATGTAAGATAAGGCTATGGTCGCGCACATAGAAATAGCAAATCCTGTCCCCCAGTACAGTTGGAACTCCGGCTACGTTGAGTGGATATGATTAAACCGTGCGGTGCAAATCCGGTTAGGGGCACCAAAACGGACAATATTGGCATAGGCGAATCCGGTTTGGGGCCTATGGCATACAATTTCATCCAGTTTCATACAGTTTATCTTATCACTTCGGTTTCACTATGACCTTATGGAGCCATACAGATATCTTGACATAACATTTCATGAATCATACAGTCTACTATACAGCAAGAAAGATTATCAAGATAAAATGAAAATATCATGATCTGTGTGCTTACATTCCATATGTGCTTACATAATGCTTTTTGCTTATATGTGTGCTTATTGTTGTTTTATGTTGAGATATCCACTGAGCTTTATTTGCTCAGCTAGTTACCTGTTTAAATCGCAGGTTTTGAGACTAGTTCGTAGAGGGTCCGTTTACAACTGCTGCCATTCATCTGTAGAAGACTCGGTCTTCAGGGTAGAAACTCATTTTGTTATTCTTTTATGGCATGTACGAGGCACACAGTTGGGCCCAATCCATTTTGTAACTAGTATCATGTCTTGTAAATATTCAGTACATTATTACTATAAGCAATCTCAGCATGATATTAGATTTTCAGGGTAGCTCCCTATTTTGATATGTATCTTTTATTATTCTTTCATGGCATGTACAGGGTACACAGTTGGGCCCATCTCATTTTGAAAACTTGTATAATGTATATAAATATTCAGTACACTAGTAATGTAAACAGCATCTGTATATATATAAATATTCAGTATTATGATATCAACATGTTAGCACATACAATCAACCAGTTTTGTAACATCTCGACTCGGTTCGTGTGACAGCTTCTGAGATTGAAGGTGAAACCTATTATGTTTTACCAAATTTGGGAAAATCATTTTCAAAGTTTGTGAATGACAATGTAGAATCCTTGTTTGTTCTCACTTATGGAGGGGATGATTTGATAGAAATGGATTTCCTCCTGAGAGAATGTTTCAAGTAATTATTAATAATTTTAATTAGTTGAATTAATTATGTGTTCTATGTTATTAAAAGAAAAACTAAATGTTGTTATATTTTCTTCATAATTACAGGAAAATTGTTGAAACAATTGAAGCTTTAATTAAAGCTAGAAAATATCATGGAATTATCAAGCGTGGATTTTGCATAGACGACGAAGGAGATGAGGCGATTGTTAAATTTTTTAATTCTCAATGATTCGAAGGTAAATTTGTTTTAGGGTCTAATTACAAAACTGAGACTAAATTTTTAGTCACCTTTTTTGTAACATCCTACTGAATCGAATCGTTACATATACATGAGTCGAGTCGGGTCGAACTAGAAAGCAGTTAACGCCGGAGTGGGGTAAAATGGGATGTACCATAAATAAGTAAAAGAAGTGGACTTACTTGAATGAAACAAAAAGATCAAAGTATAAGGAGTAGGACTTACTTGCCTTGAATGAAAAACAAAAAGATCAAAGTATAAAGGGAGTAGGACTTAAACTTGCACTAAATAGAAAGTTTTAAAGTATTAAAACGTAACATAGTGAGAAATTTAAGGTAACTATTTGGGTAATTTTTAACACATAATCAAAGAGAGTAATATTCTGGCAACTACACGAGACTTCCATTGTCAGTTTGCTTTTCTTCATTTTTCTTTTCATCTTCAACGTCTTCTTCTTCATCTCCATCTTCCTCTTCATCTCCTCTTATCTTTCTCTTCATCTCCTTCCTTTCTCCATCACTTTTCATGTGATTTAAATACTAAATTCAACCTAGAACTCTATCCAAGTAAGTAGCCTTTCTTAAATTTCATACTTTTGTGATATTTTAGATGATTTATAAGAGTTATGATGTAAAGGAGAGGGGAGCTCAAAGTTGGAGGAAAAGGAAGCTAAGAAGAAGATTTAAAGCTCTTTTGGTTGAAGGTTTGATATCTCTTTTAGTTTTTCACATTTTCTTTCATGAACACTTCTGTAGTGTGTGGATAATGCAAAGATATGTTGCTGAATGTTGAATTAGAGGTCTGTAAATGGTGATAAAGCATGGGATGAATTGAATGATTGAATGAATGAAGTAGACATTGAATTCATGCTAAACCAGGTTTGTTGGATCACTGACTAGTAACTTAACCCTGATTTTGACTCTGTTTAACGATGGAATTAGGGAGTGTTATAGAAGAGTTATTTGTTCCTGTATAGAAATAGTTTATCTTGTTTCTCTATGTTTTAGCTGTCCATTAGAGTTTTGAATCACCTAATTTAGGAGTTATAAATTGGAGAGATATGACCAAAATAGTACAGACTGTTGCAGGCCGTGGAAATCAACAGTCTGGACGGACTTGGAAGTTAGCTCATTTCGGTAACAATATTGTGACTACTTACCAACGTAATTAAGAGATGTGGTAGAAGACAAATTTGTAGCCTAACTGTGTTACTACCATAGAATGTCAGAATCACCTAAATTGGAGTTATAAAATTGAGATCTGTGAACAAAATAGTATAAACCTGTGCAGGCTGGAAACCCAACAGCAGGGCAGACTGACAGTTTGCTACTTGGAGCTCAATGTTTGGACTACCTTACCAACGTAATGTAAGAGATGTGGTAGAAGACAAATTTGTAGCATAATGTGTTTAGCTAACCATACGAATGTAAATCACCTAAAGTGGAGTTATAAATTGAGAGATATGACCAAAATAGTATAAACTGGGCAGGCTAGAAACCAACAGCAGGGCAGACTGGCAGTTGCTACTTGAGGTCAATATGTGACTACCTTGCCAACGTAATTAAGAGATGTGATAGAAGAAAACTTTGTACATTAAGATGTTAGCTAACCATAGAATTTAATATAACCTAAATTGGACGTATACAGAAAGAGTTATGCTAGGATTTGTGAAATATGTACAGGCTGTCTGGCAGATTTCAAGAACACATTAGAAATGATGTTGGAAATGATGTTGGAATGCATATGTAGATTCATTCACCCTAAAATTATTACTGCATTTTACCTTCTAAGTGAACTTAAATTCAAACTAAGAATTTCCCTAATCTGAATGGTAAAATTTAGTTACATAAATATTAGTAAGAATTGCATCGCGGGTGCAATAGCTAGAGTATTTCCATGCAAGTTACTTTATACGTTATCACTGGTATGCGTTATTCCTCATTAGATATTTTCTAAATAATTCTTGTATTATCACAATACACATAATATGCTCCATTAAGGTTAGCCAGAAACCGTTTATGCATTTTATGAATAATATAGATAATATGCTCCACTGAGGTTAGGTAGAAACCATGTAGATAAGGCTATGTCGCGACATAGGATAGCAGATCTGCGTTTCATATAGTTTGGTACTCAGGCTACAGGCCGTTGAGTGGATATGATTTATATACAGGTCATAGCAGCCCAGCTATACAGTATTCATCCAGTTTCATATAGTCGTTCTTATCACTTCGATTTCACTGTAACCTTATAGAGCCATACAGTTATGAAATTGTGTTATTTATAAATTATACGATGGTTAATAAAAATTCCATAATTCATACAGTCTAATGAACAGTAGGTAAGACTATGAACGTATAATGATATGTGTGCTTACATGCTTATTTATTTAATTCTTATTAAGTTGAGATATCCACTGAGCTTTATTTGCTCAGCGAGTTACCTGTTTTAACTTATTTATTTAACTCGTAGGTTTCGAGACTAGGACCCGTAGAGAATCAGCTTACACTGCTGCAGTTCATCTGTGGAAGACTCAGTCTTCGGTAGGTACTCATTTTGGATATTTTGATTCTGTCTATCCTTATCATTGACATGTACAGGGCACACAGTTAGGCCATTTCATTTTGGAAAAAATTGTCTCAAATGTTTGTAAATATTAAGTATAATATCTATAGTTTTCGCTAATGTAAAAAGCAAGCAACTTAACATCATATTCAGCATACAACATAATTATTAGCAATGAAGGACATAGGTTCCCAACCAGAATTTAGCATCTCAGCTCGGGTTCATTGAGTTAACAGTGTGGACCGGGAAGGGAATGTTACAAATTTTGGTATCAGAGTCCTAGGTTAGTTTACCTCGAGCTTGCATGCATTATGTCATTATAGTGTACATGCCATGGGAAACCTTACCTGATGAACTAAGCAGTGTGTTTAATTATTTTAGGAGGATTGTTCACAGGAAGGTGAGAGCGAGTTGTTATTCTTTTAGGAGGATGTCACAGGAAGGTGAGAGCGAGTCACACGCCTCCAGAGCAGTGGAGGGTGAGGCTCCAGTAGCACCAGGTCAAATAGGGCTATGACAATTTTAATTATGAAATTTGATTCTTTTTCAAATAAAAAATTGAACGTGGACTAAATGATGATTTGAAGATTTTGAAAGTTTGGTTAGATTTGCAATACATCGATTTCGTTAAAACTCCAAAATAGAGCAAAAAGAGGTTCACGACATTTTTGTAAACATTTGCTATTATTTGAAACAACCAAAAACTGATAGGAGGTAATATATATATAACTTAAATTTGTCTGAGAAATTTTTTGAATTTACATGTTAATTTCTTCATCTAATTTGTGTTTTCCATAAGTGAAATTAACAACAAAATTTATGCTTTAACATCATATTTTTCATATGCAGTTACAAATCAATTTATATGCTTAGACATCGTATTTTTGGGAGTAACACCCAAAAAATATACTTCATCAACAAAGCAGATCTGATGCTGAGAAGGTCAAATCCTCTGCATATTTGTTTAATTTGACACTTTTTTCACAGTATTTTGATTGGAAGACGAAAATTCCTAGCAATTCTAGTTTAATCACCTTAAGAGATTTTCAAGACAGTCAAAAGAGATATGCAAAACATTTTGGGGCCATTGGATTTTTCAAAAATTCCTTTGTTCACAATGAAGAAACAATATATAAGAAATGAGAATACTGCATCTTTCAAAAATGTTTTTGCTTTTCTTTTTATTTCTCTTTATGTTATCACAACGAAATTCTTTCTTCATTGTGACGGTATAATTTTTGATGGTATAATTTTTGACAGAAAATTTGGAATAGAAAAGGTTATGCATTTGAGGGAGCTGTATGAAGAATTTACTTAAAGTTTAGTAGATTATTTTTTCATGTTCTTTCTTTCTTCATTGTTTTAAATGCAGAAGAAGGTAATATTTTGTTTATGCAATGTAGGTACGTTTTGAGGATTTAAAAAGGAGAGAGAACCATACGTTTGGTTCTTTTCAGTTGTTTGATGCTAAAGCTGTCTATCATATGAAAGTTGACAATGACGATGATACTCATTTTACTGAATATGTTTCGCTATTGTGCTTTTATCGTCCTAAAGATGGTTTAAATCTACTTAAGTCCTATGAATTCTCAACTGGTATTCCGAACGTTATAGAAAAATTCTCTTCTGCTTTTGAAATTGAAGGTGAAACCTATTATGTTTTACCAAACTTGGGGAAATCATTTTCAGAGTTTGTGATTGACAATGTAGAATCATTATTTGTTCTCAATTATGGAGGGGACGATCTGATAGAATCCAGATCCTGCCTATTTTTTTTTTTTTTTTAAACCAAGAAATTGAAAGAAACGACACATTCTGCGTTAATTCAAATGCGTCGTTCAGGACTTAGCTTGGTCTCCGTTTGGGCCCTTGTACTTGCGCCTTTCGAAAGATGAAATTGCAAAACCAAGTTTTGGGCTTCAGCAAATGATAAACATTGGGCCTAAGGGGCTCATTCATATGAAAGATGAAATTGCAAAACCAAGTTTTGGGCTTCAGCAAATGATAAACATGGGCCTAAGGGGCTCATTCATATGTAACCCTTATTTGGGCCATAAACTAGGCAGGCAGGACAGTAGAGAGTTCTTTTTTTCCTTTCTTCTTAAAATAATGAATTTTTAATACACAACAGTTGGATTGGAATCAAAAGAAAACAATATTTCAATAATAAAAATTTGTTGTATGAACAATTAAGACAGTTTGTCATGTCTTCTTCTTCTAGCTTTCCAAGTTGATATCGAGAAAATTTCCTTTTTCTAACTATGCTTCTTCTAGAAGCATAATCGTCACAATTCACTTGATTATCGAATGTGCATTAAGCGAATATTCCATATATTGGTTAGATTTTTCTTTATTTCTTTTTTTTTTTTTTTTCATTTTAGTGGATTTTAGTGGAATGCATTTGTTAAGTACTTATAACCAAAGTTCTTTCTGAAAATTACGTCGTTTTCATCTTAATTGGCCATTATGTATCTTAATGCTTCTCATCTCATCTTTAATAACATATATTAAAATGATAGATGCAAATTAATTATATTTTATGTGATCATGATTCTAATTACACATATTTATATTCTTTTTAGCCTTTTCTAAGTTGAAATTGACAGTTTTCCTTTCCTAAATGGTTATCTTTATATAAAATAGACACGTAATACATGTGAGTTCCCTTGTTATATATGAAGGGCGTTATTCTTTTTTTCATTTTTGATTTTAACCATGACTCATGCATGCTCGTATCTATTTAATAGTCCATATTACAATTCGACAACTCTCCATTCACTCCGAGAGACATGAGAATTGGCCTGTAGAGATTTTATACTGAGGGGGTATTATTCTTCATATCAATTAATAATGAAGCGTACCAATTAATAACAAAGAGAGCATCAATATAATTAAAACAATAATTTCACGAATAAAATACAAAAATTCAAAAAATATAGTTAGAGTAAGGGTATATTGTGATAACAATAATTAAATTATAATCCTAAATTAGCTGGGATCCGCTATATGATCATTTATTTTCATTTTGTTTTATTGGGGTCGGATTGTAATTAATTACAAGTAAATATCATTAATTCCATCCAAAAATATAATTGGTGAATTTAAATTATTAATTACAGAACTAGAATTTCACATATATTTTTAAAATGGAAGTACTTGTTCACTGGGACCCATATCCACAAATCATTGACAAACCTCAAGTCACCATAGAATTTCACATATATTTTTAAAATGGAAGTACTTGTTCACTGGGACCCATATCCACAAATCATTGACAAACCTCAAGTCACCAATTCTATCTTTTACAATTATACATGGCCATGCTAAGGTAAAAATTAAAATAAAATAGAAGTAAAAATGAGTGATCATAGAATATAATTAAATGGGTACCCACAAAATTGAAAAAATATATATATCTATGGTCTATATTTGCAATATCTATATGTTATATGGAAGAGGACAAACGTGTCAGTCTTGTTGATGCCCCCACACGTGTGCACTCTTGCGATATTCCTTAATTATATATAATAATTGTTATTTTGATGCCTTTTAGTCTTTTTCTTCGTGTGCTTTCCTTTCTATCATTGTAAAAAAAGGGTTTTTATATGCTCAAGGATCATCTCTTCCTTTCTTTATTCTCTTCTCTTGACCCAAATTGGCATTCTTCTCTTCATTCGAACTGTGGGGAAGTTTACAACTGTGTCTTCCTCAGCCACCCAACTGTATACACCACAATTAATTAATTAATTAATTAATTAATTTAAACAATTGCTAATATTCTTATTTTAACAAAAAAAATATATATATATATATACTTTAATCCTGAAAAAAAAAAAAAAGCAGTCAAGTTAAAGGTTAGACCAATATATATGATATATATATATTTGGTTTTCCAAGGTATAATGAAAAATACAACTTTTGGGTTCCTCTACACATGACAACTATTTAAAAAAAAAACCCTAGCAAAAGGAATTATATATACACCTAGGGTTTTTGAAAATTGTTCTAAATATCTATAAATATTCAATGTCTGCCTAGCTATACATGTAGCTAGCCCTAAATTTGACCATTTCATTATATATTAATTAAATTAAATTAAATTAAATTATCATTATAATACCAATTAAGTGTAATTTAATTAGTATTTTCACATTTCTTTCATGACGTGGAAATAGAAAATTTTCAATTTATTCAAATTGTTTTATTAATTCAGTGAATATAAAAGAAATAAATACTCTGTATGATGTAACTTACAATATTGTTTAGCATTTATATAAAAATTTCTTTTTGATAATGGCTCATGGAGTAAGACATGTTGAACTAATTTGAGAAATTGTGAGTTTCAATGCATGTGCTTTAGACTAGTCAAAAAAAAATTTTGAAAATGCATGCCACTTGTCCATATCAAGTGAGATCAAACATATGACCCATAATTTGAATAATGCCTATATAGAAAACAAAAGTTTAGTGGTGAAAGATACTCAATTGTCATCTCTTAGCTAGGTCTAGGGAGCATCAAAATCCACACTAGAATGGCTACATACATGACAAATTTATATTTCACCCCCATTTTATAAATTTAATATATGTGAGGTGACTTTGATTTATTTTGCAAGGATTTGAGCCTGCCATGGCTAGATTGAGACTGTCCTCTTCATGACCATCTAGGGTAAATAGATAAAGATAATGTAGACAAAAAGTACATTAGGGATCAAGTGGAAGAGTGGAATCAGAACCGAAATCAGAAAAAATAATTAGAGGTGGCAAGCAAAAAATTCAAAATTTACAAGAGGTGAATGTCAAAAAAAAAAAAAACTAATTTATAGGTAAAAAATAAAATTTTATATATTTTATAAGGGTAAATTTAAAAGAAAAATAAAATTAGGAGGCGGCACCGCGGTTGTGTGAAACCCTAATTTAATTGGTTACGTTCGGTTGATTGCAAAGTTGGTTTTGTTGGAAGCAACTAATTAAGGAAAGAACAAATAATGCCTTGTAAAGGATACTTATTTGCTCAAAAATGGGAGAAAGTTGGATTGTTATGATTTTGTCTTTGCTCATGTCTAAAAAATGATTTTGAAAAATATGATAGTTTTTAGTGCATGACAACTTCTAAAAGAATTCTCAATACATTTTCTTGAAATTTCAAATTTAAATCGCGTTAAAAGTGATTTTGGAGTTATAATTTGCATATATATATATATCTCTACGCTCGAAAAATTTCTCATTTCTATAAAAATGGAAGAAAATAGAAGAGTGAGAAAAAAATTACCTAAATTGTATATCTCTACGCTCGAAAAATTTCTCATTTCTATAAAAATGGAAGAAAATAGAAGAGTGAGAAAAAAATTACCTAAATTGAGTAACAAAGTGGTGCAAGAAAATGGAAGCTTCAAGCCTGGCCAAATCTAGTCCAGGACATAATCTTTGTCCACCTCCAAATGGAGTGAAGTTGCAACTGCTCATGTCCTTGTCCTGTGAAATTAATTAATTAATTAATTAATTAGATGCTTAATTAAAAAAAAAAAAGAAAATAATATATAATAATTAAAATTTTTAATTTCTTACTTGCCACCTCCAAGGATTGAATTGGTAAGGCCAATCATAGTGATTTTCATCAAGATGAACTGATCTAAAGTATGCAAAAGCACACCATCCCTTGGGTATCAAATATCCTTTTATCTCTATATCCTTCATTGCCTTTCTCATTACACCAATTATAATATTTCCTATTCTTAAAGTTTCTGTGATTACCTGTTTAATTATTCAAATTTAAAAAAAAAATTAAATATATTAATCCAGAAAATCATAGCATAGAATGTAATTAACTTAATTACCTTCTGTGTAAATGGCAATGATAAGTAATCAGTCCAATTTAATGGCTCCCCAAGCTGAGCTTTGAGACTTTTCAATTTCATGTTCTCATCCTGAAATTGTATTTAATTATTCCAATTATGAAAAAATTAAGAAACCTTAAACTAAAATCAAAAGAAAAGTAGCAAATAACAACAAAAGAGGCCCTAATGATAGTTACAAGTCACACGTGGATCAAAACGGCAAAGACATGGACAGGTCACCTAACAATTTATGAAATTGACACAAAAATATGATACACTTAATGATACTAGAATTCTATTTGTTCACGTTTCTGTATGCATTCATAAAATATTTATGCTTTAACACCCGAGGGGATCAATAACCCAAAAAAAAAAAAAAAAAAAAAAAAAAAAAGCATAGCGTCCTGCCAGTGATTGTGCGGGCAAACCCTAGTATTCTTATTTCAGTATTCCACTTGTGCCTATGGTACCTATTCGAATACAACTATTCAAGCGAAAGGAAAATTTTCAGCTGGAAGAAGATAAGAAGATTGAAAATGACCTGTTCAAGGTTTTTTTTCTTTTAATTTATTAATTAATACAATATTATCTTCTATTACATTTAAAATGTATGTAATCAGCCGACTATCCACATTGTAATAATTTACCTTAGCATTTAACAAAACATTATGAGTCTAATAATTTCAAAGAGGAAGAGAAGAAATTAGCATACCGTTAATTGTTGCAAGGCAGCAGGGCAATCTGAAAGGTATTTTACAGCAAGAGTCATAAGAACAGGCACAGAATCCTCCCCTGGAATCATCATATCGATCATATTATCCGCGATTAAGTCATCGGTTAATTGTTCATTTGAATCATTAAGCAAAACATCAACCACATCTTTAGGCACTAATGACATGCCATTATGATGCTCTCTTTTAGATTTTATAATTTTTTTCACTAACTTCACCATTTTCTTCTTGGCCTGTAACAAAAATTAGGAGCAAATAAGGTTTAATCATACTTATTTAATTAATTAATTGACTGACTTGCCTGTAATGAGCGGTAAAGTTGACTTCCTGGGACGTTAATAGGTAAAGACATAAGACCAGAGATAAATTCTTGAAACTGTTTTTTGAGTGACTCCATTTCTTGACCTGGATCCAAACTAATCAATGCCTTGACTAAGACTTGAAAAGCAATCTGCAGACAGGATTAAGGAGAGTTTTTATAAATTATTACTTTCTTGTGAGCAACTTTTTTTACAGAGTACTGTTTGAGATAATTATTATGATTGTTATTTACTAGACAAAATGATTTCATGCAAAATTATTGTGAACGCCCCCATATTCCACTACTGCTTCCAAACAGAATCATTTCTAACTTAAGTAGAAGCCAGAGATTAAATTCAAACATCAATTAATGATTTTTTTTCTTTCTTTCTTTGATTTTCAATATATATAGTCGGAAAAAAAAAAAAAAAAAAAAAAAAAAGATACACTTTCTATTATTATATTGTGTATTGTACATAGAGCCAAATATGAGTTTCATTGCAAAAGTTATTTGACTAGACGTCTCTCTTATGCCATTATTCCACGCCTACTGCGTTCCACCTCCACAGTCAATCAGAGGATCATTTTTAATCTCCTTATCAGTGTATATACTATGCCTACTTCCTTAGATCCTTCCATTCCGAGACAGTCTATAATGTGTGCTCAAACTATTCAATTTTCAATGATTTTTTTTTCTTCTTCTGTCTTCAGTCTCGTCAGTGATAATTCACTATACCCGATATATATCAGTTCCTGGACATTTAAAAAAAAAACAAAAGAACAATAAAAAAGAAAATCATTTAAAGGGCAAGTCAAAATTTGCTAAGAAGCCAAGCCTCAAGGAGCAAAAGCGAAATGATATGTCTAAGGCCACTTCGATAGTATAAGTGGTTCGCTGATGATGAGCTAAAGCTCTGCGGTCCTAATTCCTCCTTTTTGTATGTTTACTATATGTTTATTCTGTCTGTTCTCTATTCGAAATCGATACGTCTCTTTCTCTATAAAATCAATTGCTATATATATACAGACCCTTAGCAAGCATAAAAACGAACGCTTGAAAAATGTGGTCTCTTGACCAAAACCGTGGAGCGTTCCTGAACCCCGTATAGAATCTTCCAAATCTCCTTTGTCCAAATGCCACACAAACAGAGAAAAACAGAACTCAAAACAGTCTCATACGCACAGACGGAGAGATAGACGATCAAGAGAGTTAGAAAGTGTACTAACACTTTTTCGCGTTTCTCTCTGCCTGCTATCGAACCAATCGTCTGCGTGGCGCTTCATATACGTCCATTTATTCATAGCTAATTCGCTTCGGTCAACAGTTAAACCTTCGCATGTCTTCTATTTAATTGAGTATTCTGTAGTTAGAGCAGACTTGGAAGAAAGCTGAGCCTACTCGGGAGCCTATGCGCAATCTCTTTCGTAATATCTCCACTTGATTGAGCCAAATCGGAGGCATTTTTCCCACTCACTACTCTGTCCACGACTTTGCCTCTCGTGGTAAAGAAGTTGATACAATATCTTTTTGCATTCATCTTTTCGCAGTATATACATTTTGACCTCACTGTCTATCTGTTTGAACCTATCTTGACGTCCAAAAATAAAAAAAAAAAAAAAAAAAAAGAAAATCATTAAAGAAGAAGAAGAAGAAGAAGAAGAAGAAGGCAGAGATAAGTTTAAGATATATAAGTGGTAATCTCTTTTTCTTTTGTTTTATTTTCTGTCTAAATGGAACTCTTCTCAAAAAAATTGTATATTAAAAACTTAGAAGAAACTTAAAAGATGGGTTTCAAACTCCAACGATAGAATTCATCTTCTTTCAAACCACACAAACAGAAAAAAACAAACTCAAACAGCTCATACGCACAGAGAGAGAGAGAGAGAGAGTAAAAAGGGTACTAACATTTTTGGTTTCGTCTTGTATGTAAATGGGTTGGTCATATTTCCATTTATTCATAGATTCTTGAACATAAACTTGCATGTCTCTAGTAATTTGAGCTTTGAGTAGAGCAGACTTGAAGAAAGCTCCTATGAGGCCATGAATTCTCTTCTGTAAGCTTCCATTGATGAGCAAAATGGAGGATTTTCCCATCAACTCTGTCAAAGATTTTGGGTAAGAAGGAACAAATGTTTTTGCATCACTTTGCAGTATAAATTTGCTCACTTCTGCATCTGTTGATACTATCGTTGGAGTTCCAAAAATATGTGATTTAAACACCTTCCCATACCTGCAAGAAAAAAAAGGTAGGTTTCAAGAAAACACTACAAGGTAACTAACAGTTAATGCCAACATAGATTAATGATGATCAACATGAGTAGTTACGCCGTATTAATCTAGGATTAATACATGTATTAATTAAAATTTGTAAGAATATGCATATGTATAGTATTATACTTACATGCGGCGACGTTTATCCATGAAGCTTTCAGGGCGGTCTGAGTAAGCAGAAGAAACGAACTCAAGGGTTTCCCCCAGAAAAGGCCATCCAAGACTGCCTAAAGGAAGTGGGGTTCTGTACTTTGATGATGATGATGATGATGATCTGATGATGATGATACTAAACCACTTGTTCCTGTACAAGATTATTATCGAAGACAACAATATTGCTAATACTATCAACAATAAATTGTCCATTATTTCGACGCTTCTTTCTTTGCTTCACCGCACGCACGCACACATAAACATATACGCACCCTTTCTTTCTTTCTTTCTTTCTTTCTCTCTCTCTAATCTCTACACTTATATATGATTATAAATAAAGTATAAATGTGTATGTCTTTTGCTTATTATATAAGTAAGTATATGCTTAAATTAATCAGATTATGACATTATTTGGGCTGCAAAATATGAATTTTTGCTTGCATGTGTACTTGCACGCGTGTGGCAAAGAAAGAGAGAGAGAGAAAAAAAAAAAAAAAGAAAAAATAATAAGGTTTATATAAGGTTTGGAGCGTAAGTTAATGTATATATATGTAAGAGAGAATATTTGTATTGGAAGATGCATATGTCATTAATATTTTAGCAGTTCGGAGTTACATATATACATTTGTGCGGAGAAAGTACAGGTTGTGGGTCGGGTCAGTCTTTTGCCTGATCCAACTCAATATTTTTGTGAAATGTATTGTTATTTTTTTAATTTATTTTGTGTACCTGTCTTTGTACTCGGGGCAATCCTTTTAATACAGGTGATTCTACATTTCGTATTTTGATTTTGCACAAAAAATTTGCCTAATAACACGGTTTATTTTTACTAATTCAATCGTGTGGTTCCATATTATTGTGTTAATAGTTCAAGATCTATTTAATTACTTGAAAATGGAACTTTTAGTTGTACATATTATTATTTAAATTTCAATAATGATAAATTTTCTTTTATTATTATCAAATTAATTATTTAATAGTCAAGTATTCAATTCATGATATAAGTGAATTGATGTTACAACATCAAATAAAAGTATTTTTTTTCTAGGATAAATTTGACAATACATATTGTAAATTTGTTAGTACATGTCTGAGAAAATAAATTACATCAAAAGTAGTTTTCAATAGAAAAGAAAAGCAAGAAAAACACCTTTCACATTTTGCTAATTTTATTTTTTAATGTTCACATTTTGCTAAAATTGAAAATTGAAAATTGAAAATTGAAAATTGAAAATTGAATTAAGCCCCCTTAATTGAACTTGTTAATTGGATCACAAGTCACAATTAGGGTGGCAAGCATGGATCAAAACTATGATTATAAGTGATTAATATATGATACTTATCACTAATTATATACATAGTAAACTTGAAAAAATTGTATATAAATATATGAAAAAAAGATGTAAAGGAGTCCCCACAAGTCCATGATTGTATGGTGGCACAGTGGCCGCTGGAGGAGACCCTCTTCTTGCAGGCGCAGCTGGTGGCCTCGTGCGTTCATGTGAGACTCAATAAGTCCAACCACATTCTTCATCATCATTTTTGCCTCTTCTTTTGTCCCTCTCTCTCTCTCTCTCTGTGTATCACCCAATCCACACACAGAATAGGCCAACCTCTCATGTTACTTTCATTCCCATAATCCTTAATTCTCATTTTATATAGGAAGGTCACATGTGGGTACCCTTTCTTTCCTCCCAAAATCACTCAACCCTACTAATTTTTGTAATAAATAAGGTAATGGGTATTCATTATTGCCCTTAATTTTGTTTATCTAGATTATATAGGGTTAAGGAAGGTTAGTAATGTCCATTTGTAATGAAAAAGAAAGAATATTATGGAAATAAAAGCCATTTCTTTTGGGAAAAAGCTTGTATTAATTTAATCTTGAACTTTTAACTTTCAAAATCTCTCTCTTTGACTGTTATCAAATAATGTGGTATTCTATGTGGCCCATTTTCTTGATTGCAAATATATATTTTCAATTGTTGAGCTCCATTCCTTAGCTTTCCTTTTAGCTCTTTGTTCAAACTACCTAACAAAATTAAATTCTTGAATCAATTCTCATAATTGCATTAGATCATTCTCTCTTACATTGGTTGGTTTTGGTTCATTTGTTAATTCTTTTATATCTCCAAGAATCTTAGAGAATATATTGGATATGTTTCAAAATTCTTTTGAAAAGTTTGAAGTTTGGGATTTCTGTACTTCAGGGTATATTCTGTACTTTGTAATGTTTCATTTCATGACATGATATTAAGACATTGAAATATATATCTTTGTAATAAAAGATAAGAGGTTAAGATTTAAATTCTCGTGGTATTTTCTTTTTAATTCAAGAATTTTTAATCTGTCGATAAAAATATGTCAACTTGTAAAAGAAAATAAAGGAAGAGTATAATAATAATAATAATTTTTGGTCCAGAGTATAATAATAATAATAAATTTTTTGGTCCATAGACGTCGCTCTCCAAACCGGCCTGACACCCCTATTTTGGTTTATCTCTGAGAGCATGCACATAGCGCATCTGAGTCTACATCTCTTTGAAATGTGCATTGAGCTTCAACCACCATATTCACCCATGTGAACTATCTTTCAAATTTGAGCGAAAAAAAAAATATAAAAAAATTAGAGTAATATAAAGCTCTCCATTTCACACATTCTTTGTCTGCTCGTTATCTGCAATATGATGGAACATGATGAGAACTAAACCTATCCTTTCCTGAAAACGAAGTAGCCCAATCTATTCCCATACATATGACAAATAAATGACATCAATAGAGTTGAGTTCCCTAGCTTATTTTTAATTTTTCTAGACCCTAATTCCACATAACAAGGCATTGTACCAAATAAATAAGAGATAGAACAATAATAAAGAATGTCCAAATCAGAGTCCGGACAAGACTAGTATGAAAAGCAGAGAGGAGAAACAAGAAAAAGATATGCGTGAACTAAAAACGCTAAATCTAAATCCCAGTCCCCAGCAGTATAGCCTGGTTACCTCTTATTTTCGACTGGCACCACTCCCTGCTGAGAGGTGCCCTATCCTAGAGGAGATTTAGTCTATGAGTGCGGATGGATCGCGTCGCCTTCCATCCTCGCAGCAACTGTTCTCTTAAAGCACATATTTATCTTGACCCACACAAACTATTAAATTGATTCATATGTTACAGAACCCCAGAAAGGCACATTCAGTAAGTTATGGTCAATAAGAATATTCTTCCACATGATTGATATAAACATCAAACCTTGTTACACTAATTCAGCGCAAAGCATACACAAATTCTCCTGATTGATAGTGCAAAACAGAAATGCATGATGTTCCGCTCAAGTATACAGAATCCCTGCATACTTTCCCACACATTGATTTAAAAAGGAACAATCCTGCTACATCCCCAGAACGATTTGAATAAAGAGAGCTTAATCAACTGAAATACTTTGGCTGGGATTTATTGCTCGAAATTGATCTGTTTCAAGAATAGCTTTCTCTCTAGCAATGCACTTCGTCTACTCAGGATTCTTGCGTTCACCTTCCTTTTTTCTCTTCCCAGAAAATTCCACTTGCTACAGTTCACGCCAGTGTGGGTCGGGGTCCGGGCTGATTTTCCTCTGATTAGGTTACGCGATGGCTGTTTAAAGCTTTCCATTAGCAACGGTCATGTCGGCACACTGAAATCAGGTTCTTTCCCCAGAAACTGCTCTCTATACGCTTAGTTTTGGCATGTGTGCCGGATCGCACTATACGCTGTTCACGTAAGAATGCTGGCTTCCTTATCTTCACTTACCTCTTAGGCCCTGTATCTTTCTTTCTTTCTTTCTCGCTTCTTATGAACAAGTAGGCTGAATAAGATACTGAATAAAAAAAGATAACGAACCAATGTCAAGTGAAAAAAGAATGCATAAACTCTCGAGTAAAGTATTGTCACAATTAGTCAACAGAACACTACAAGAAATCGCATTGATTAGTCAAAAACATAAAGAACATTGCCATCCAACACGTTCAAATATCAAAATATAAAAAAATGGGTGAAAAAAAAAGAAGAAAGATAACACATCTGGCCTAGAGGAAAACAAATAATGACCTCTCAAGCAAGATCTTTATAGAGAACAAATATAAATGAGAACTCTAGCAGCCAATAATGCCATATTGACTACCACTAAATAATCAGATGAAGGCAACCGAATAAAATCTACAAGTGCTTGTGCTCATTGATAATACCACATAACAACTGAAATGAAACTGCTCCATTTCAATGTAACAATTATTAATAAATTTGAAGCTTGTAATTTATTATATTTTGTTATTTTATTTACAATTACATAATATGATTAATTATTAATTATTGGGGGGAATGAAAATCAAAAGTTAATTCCACCATTTGATATCTATAATTCCACCCATTGATATCTAGAATCCAACTCATAATAAAATCACAAATTGCAACCCCACTAAACCTGCTATGTAGCCTCAACGTTAGATTGAGCGAAGTTTTAGTGTGTGACTGGGATCTAGAACGAAAAGCTGTAGTACTTTTCTTGAGTCTGGTATCAGAAAACGAGAACCCCTAGCAATAAAAGATTGGTTTCATCTATTTCCATCATTATAAGCTTTATGGATATTATCCTCTGTCATATCATGCTGCAACTATATTACTATATACGTTATATAGCTATATATATATATGAATGAGCACCTAACAAAGAGTTAAATTATCCTAGGTCTACTAGTTTAATGAAATTTTATAACTCAAAGTAATCAAAGAGATCCAACGTAGAACTGAATTAGGCGGGACAGATGTTTAGGATTTCGAGTGTGCTTTTCAAGAATGCTGCAATATATATGAAATGAGCACCTAACAAAGAGTTAAATTCCTAGGTGTACTAGTTAATGAAAATTTTATGAACTCAATAAGTAATCAAATAGACCCAACAGACTGGAATTAGGGGACAGATGTTAGATTCTGAGTTGTGCTTTTCAAGAAGCAAATCACACTTATCTAATCAGATATAGGATGGAAGAAGAATGGCCATCAGATTTTCTTCCTTGCCATATAAAGTATTTGAATCATTCTATCACTTCTTCAATTGTTACTGAAATGCTTCTATAGGTTCCTCCTGTCACTGTCATTTGTTCAGGAAAGCCAGAAGGATCTTTTGTTATCAACAGATTCAATGATTTTGAGAAGGAACAAATAGCCATGCCTTCCTTTATCTGGTGTGCTGCAGTCTACTGTACCATGGATCTACTATGCTGGTTTCACAGGTGAAATGGGCTCATATACAGTTCTAAGAGATGCTTCAGCCACGCTCGATGGCTCAAAGAGGCAATTTAAAGCCAATCAGATTCAATTTCTAAAATATAGAGTCAAAAAGCATCACATACATCACACTATCACAGCACCATGCATATTTACTATGTCACATGGAACAACATTCAACGTTGTAAATTAGAGTTTGCTATGCAAGTGTGCAGCAACATCTTATGTTCACGAATTCCCAAACAGATGTAAGGGCATGTCACTATAAAATATTGAAGTAACAGAGAACTTTGAAATGCACACTTGTCATAGCATCTCATTCATGGAAATGAAAACTATAATTTACAATGCATGAAGCAGATAAAAACAATGTGAAGTTAGTGAAGAAAAATATACCACGGTCAATGGAACATAAGGTAGCATGTGATACTCAAATGGGCTTGACACGGTGCTGACTGAGAGCAAAACAACTAAACAGTTTGATAATTTTGATGCAATCACTAAATCACACATGGGAGACTAGCATTCATTTGCTGATGCCCTTTGACAGTTTACATGTTTAAAGAGCCATCAGAATCCTTCCCAATATGCTGCACTACAGTCAACTGCAAGCTGTATTCGGTTATTCATTTGAAATAAATAGTCTCCAATTCCAAGATATTAGCATGTCAAATAGTCTCCAAAACTTGTTCTCTACTATAATTGAAGCTTTAATTCCCGAATATGATCAATTTAATTAATCACCAGCAGGATAACTGCAAGATGTCACATTCTCTCTCCAGTTATGCGTCTATGGGACCACACCCCAAGTTAAAGGCCGAACATTTTCCTCCCATTGACCTCTGCAGGTAAATCCTTTTAAGATGCATTCTTAACTTGCTAATGTAATGCAGTGATATTCTAACATGAGCTCATTATACATGCACTCAAGCCATGTTAAATGGGAATTTCATCAAACATTACTGCAAAAGTAGATAAAAGATTGCACAATTTTTCATATTTAGGCCTATATAGTGATCAAAGTGCATAAGAATTAGATCTCTGAAATATGGAAATTCATGCCTAACTCAACTATTTGGTTGCCCATAGCATAGGCTTTAACCAGTTGGAAATCTAGTCCGTGCGAATTGATAATATCAAGAAGTTTGCAATATTTCTTTTTCCAATGATCTATTAGAAGCTTCATTTGCAAGCTAATCCAATGGCTGTCAAGCACTGTACGATTACTTATAGCATGAAAAGACTGAACCAAATGGGCTTTTAGTTGCAAGAAAATTTGGGAAAATTGGAGATAAAAAAAAGCATTTTCTGTACACAAATATGATTAATATATCACCATAATGACAACCTGTACTTCAAGTCCGATACAAATTACTACTTGGTGTGTTTTGGAATATTGATATCATTCACATACCATTGCTTTTATATACAAACAAGAGAAGCAGTTCTGCTTAGAATCTATTATCCAAATCATGCTCAAATCTTTACACCTTATTGGCTCCCACCTGGTTCCAATTGTCAACAGAAATTACAACTGGAACCTGTTTAAGTAATTACTCAAAGAAAAGGAGATCCTTGAAATGCAATTGAAAAACCAACATGTCCAGCAAAAGCCCTGAACCCTATTATCCTCCAATAACAAAATCAAGAATGTTTTCAAGAAAGAGAATCCAGATACTCATTTTACAATTGCATGATTTAAAAAAAATTATGCGAGGCCAATAGACATATAGAACTAGACAAATATCCTCCCTTCAGAAGCCAAAAGAAATTCAAGAATCCCTAAGAAAAACCGAGGCCTTTAAATCTTTCACCGGCTCAAAGTTACCTTATCAGCAGATACAGTAAACAATAGTACTAAATGATAATAATAAACCTCTCCTATCCAAAATCAAGATACCCATTTCAGTATTGCCAGCATCAAACCATTAAATATGCCTGACATACAAACAGAAATGAGTAGAATTTGGTAAATCGATAATAATAATCCTCTCGACGATCCAAAGGCAACGAACCCTATTCAGTATTGCCATGGCAGTCAAACCATTAAAATATAGCCTGGACATGACAAAACAAGGAATGATCGAGTTAGATTTGGATAAAGAATAAGTACCTCACGACAGATAGCTGGATTGAGGCAGTCAAGCATAAGGCCAAAAGGAAAATTTGTTTAACGTAACTAGCAACAAGGATATCTCCTAGGAGGCCTTGAACGTAGAGCAAGAAGGCGATCTGTAGACTGACGACCCCTTCCGTTACACGCACATCTCACAGCAGCTTATATAGTATGCTTGATGCATACGGCTCATGTTGTTTGTGGCTTGAAGAGAAATCTTTTGCCTTACAGTTAGCATGCCTGAAATTGCTTAGTCTTGCGCTGTTGATTGCTCCAATAAAAATGAAATCACTCAACAACGAAACCCAAACCTCAAATAATCTTGAAAAAAGAAACACAAATAGAAAGATAGTCTCATTCAAATAATCATGGATTGTTCTGTCACAATTTACCTCGCGTATGACTTTGATGGGATACCTTCTTGGGCTTGTTGGCGTCACGAAGCTTCTGGAACCTGCCCTTCTCTCATTGCGTGTCTTACTTGATATCAATTTCTATCGTTCTCACGGACTCGCTTCTATCCTACTTCCCCCGGATATCCGCGCGACTGATGACTGTTTTGCTGTTTCTACTTACATACTTAATAATACTGCTCTTTTCGATCATTCCTGATTGCTTATGTCTTCCAAATTGAAACGAATGGACCTTTCTCTTCTTATTTTTTTCTTTTTTTTTTTTTTTTTTTTTTTTTTTTTTTTTTTTTTTTTTTGTAATTTAGTTTTAAAGATAGTAATTTTTCAATTGTCCTGAAAATTAGTTTTAAAGAATGGACCTCCTATTGAATTAAAATGATTATGAAAAACGATCTCAAATTTTACATTTTTAAAATTTATTAAAAAGGTTCATTTTTTTATTTATTTTGATTGCTTTAATAAATTATGATCAAAAAATTAGAAAATTTAGCCTTTTTTCACTTTTAAATTATGAGTTTTCGATTAAATCCAAATCTAAGCTACAACAAATACCATGTACCCCATCATAAAATTCCTTCTCAAAAAAAAAAAAAAAAAAAAAAAAAAAAAAAAGACAAAAAAAAAAACAATCAGTATAAGCTTCAATTTACAGAACGACCTTTAAAATTTAATTGCTCAAACTTTGTAGGCTTGTCTGTTACTGCTGTATATGAAGTGAAACACTATATGCAAATCTTTAAACTATTTGTAATATTCAACAGAGTACATTACCTCTGCGTGATCATCAATAAGTCATAAAGTCATATCTTACAGAACTAACAGCCCTATATTTTCAGGAAGTTAACAATGAAATTAAAAAAAAAAAAAATGATAAAATGGAACAACGTTTAGGCATGACATCTCAGGTATCTATGCTCTGGACATAAATTTCCCTTCAGTTATTGATCTCATAAATCAGCTCCATGAGCGGCCACCACCATAACGCCTCCCACGTTCCCGGAAACTTCCATAACCTGATTCATCAGATGCAAAAACAAAACAGTGCTTTAGCAACTAAGAACATATTTATACATTACAGGAGAAACAGAGCTATCATCAGGTCATATGATTAGATAATCAGTCTGCAATAGTGTTAATGACTGGGGAAAGCTATCATCAGGTCATATGATTAGCTAATCAGTCTGCAATAGTGTTAATGACTGGGGAAAAATGGTGTGATCATAAAATCATAGTTCATCCAAGATTGCAAGATTTGACACAAACTTACAAAAGAAAAAGAAAAGAAACGAAACGAAAGGAAAATATTTTACTAGACCTATCAATTTCATTGTTTATTAGACCAACAGGTAACAGCAGTGGCAGATCTTGCATTCTCAAAATCTCCTTTGTGATTTTGGAACTTGTATAGTACAGGACAATAAAAATATAGCAGCAATGATTGTCAAGTTATACAACTGTCCCTTTAAGCTTATAATTACAAAGTCAGACTTCAGTTGCAACAAAGACATGTTCAGAATATCAATTTCCACCATATTACCTAAAAAAGGTATATGCATCCAAAAAACTTCCTACAGTCAACCAACCTGGAGGAGGAGGTGCACCACGACCCATTGCAGTCAATTCTGGACTGACCTTCTGCCCAGCTTCCTCAAGTATGGTGATAAGTTCCTTAGCAAATCTGGCATTTGAAGCTGTGAAGAAAGTGTAGGCTGTTCCTTTTGCTCCAGCCCTTCCAGTTCGACCAATCCAGTGAACATAACCCTCAAGGGATCCAGGAAAGTCATAATTGATTACATATTTTACATCCTAACATCTGCCACCAAAATAAAATAATAAGGAACTGGGTACTGAGATAGGCAAGTCAAGAGAAGGTGCTCCCCTCAAAATCCAAGTCAGTTCTCCCTTGCAAGCCAAAGAGAGATCAGATGCCCGAAAAGATATTTGAAGGGAACGGCATGAACTCCAAATTTTGGAAAAAGATAAATATCTACACTTTCTAACCCCCAGCATGACACCACCAATCAATATATTAGGATCAGAGAGCCCATCAAAGGTAAGAAAAATGATAAGCAAAAGAAAAATGTGGTATGGAGCATAAAATGCAACCACAAAAGTAAAAGTTAAAAAAAAAAAAAAAAGACCCAAAAAGTAAAAGTTAAAAAAAAAAAAAAAAAGTGGTAATGGACATAGATAAAATGCAAACCACTTAGTAAAGCAACAGAAATAAGACTACCTAAAAAATGCCTTGAGATAAGAACAATAATGTATGCTATCTTAAAAGTGCTTCCTATTCTTTTGCTTTTGCATTCTAAGGATGGAGGATTGCCCTATCCTCATTTCTTAAAATGGCTAGATTTCTTATATTTAGATTTCTGTTTGCTATTTTGAAAATTTTTACTTGTCATAATTTCATTTTTCATACTTGGTTCATAAAATACATAAATCTCTTATCTTTGGTAATTACTTAAGAAGTCTAAATCAAACGATAAAAACAAACATGATCCAACATGGAAAGTTCAAAAAAGAAGGATATAATTATTTTGCTTAGGGACAAGCAAAGAAGCTAAGTGTGGGGGAAATTTGATAGCCTTCGCAAAGCGGGCAATCTTGTTATGTTATTCTGATATAATTGCATGAATGCATGATTGTTTTTTGTACATTTTAGCGTTTGTACATTTTACGTTTGTTCGTGTTGTTTTGTTTCAAAGTAATTTTCAGGAACACAGTTAGATCAAAGATTTGTTCTATACAAAAATAGGGCCAAAACAAGTTGAAACATGGAAAAGAATCCTTAAACCAGCCCTCGCGCCGTGAAGCAAGTCGCAACAAAGGAAAACGCTACCAGAGGACGCACGCGCAACCCACGCCCAGAAAAAGGAAGTCGCGAGCGCGACATTCACATACGCGAAGTCGCGCGCGCAACCTACATACCAGAAGACTCAGCAGGCACCAAAACGCAAGTCGCAAGCGCGACATCCATATGCACGAGCGCGAGAAGCACTCCAGCAAGTCAGAGAGTTTACAAACAAAAGTCGCGAACGCGACATCCATTTGCGCTAGCGCGAGAAGCACTCAAGAGAGGCAGAGACTTTTAAGGCATAAGTCGCGAGGGTGACCTTGAACCTCGCGAGCGCGAGTCGTGTTTCCAGGAGATGAATTTGCTATCCTTTCATCAGAAAATCATGTCTTTCCATGCTTCATCAGAAAAACATGTCTTCCCATGCATAGGTCGGGACTCTTCCCAAGAGAAGTCACCTCAAGCACCTTTTGGCCAACCAATCACCATCATAACCGACATCATTCTCCTCTTCTATAAATAACAAATCAAAGTGAAGAAAAAAAGCATTCATATTCAAATTCAGATACAGATTCAGTTTAATATTCTGAAGATTTAGATTGTATAAAAGAGAGAAGTGTGATAGTAGTACTTAGAGCAAGTTGACGAGAGTCACTTGTTATTGATTATGCCAAGAACATCGAGAAGTTCCTCAAGGTGTGACACCCTCCAGAGACTTGAGTTTGATTACTTCTTTCTCTTGTTTTATAAACTTGTATGTTGTTCTTCATAACCTTTCTATGCAAAGCAACAATTTCAATTGGTATCATTCAATAAAAGTTGGTAGCATTTCAGTAAAAATTCTTTAAGTTATCTTTTCTTTTTGATCTTTGTTTTAATCAAAGTTACTAGGATTTATATTCTCAGAAGGAAAATAGTTTTTAGTAAAGATCAAAGAAGATTTAATTCATTGAATTTGAATTTGGCATATGCCAGTATTTCACCTTATTTTTCTGTGGAGTTAAAATTTGTCTTAGTTGAAATAAATCAAGAATAAGAATTTAAGGTTTAATATTCCAAACAAGAATAGGGAATTTTAAGTAATATGTAGAATACATATAATAGAAAGTATAATTGTATTACTGAGAAGTTGAAAATTATATTATACCAATATGTAATTAAAAGAATTCCCTTTTATTGTATAATTACAAGCTTTTTGAATTAGAAAAAGGGAAAAATACCAGTGCCATGATTAATTAATTCCCTAAGTTATTTTGACTAATACACTTGTCTTTTTAATTTATTAAACATTAGTCTTTAGGCATAGAAAATTAAAATTAATCACTATTGTATTCTTAATATCTGTAAACACATCATTAAGAAATAAAGTAGCAAGTGGACTCAACCTCGTTCCCGTGGAATCGGATCCTATTAAGAATAAAGTAGCAAGTGGACTCAACTCGTTCCTCGTGGGATCGATCTTTTTATTACTACGTTGCGATCCGTATACTTGCGGGAACTCAAAAGAGACGCAACAAAATTCAAAAACCATAAAAAAAACTACATCAAAATTAGGATAATGGTCTGTTTTCTTTAAAAAGCATAAATTTATAATGAAGAAACCTATAAATCTGAGGCAAAGTGTATAAATGCCTTCATATACCTTCAATTCTTTAAAACAAATTGAATCGGCTCAACTTTAAATGCCGATCCAATATTTCTTCCAGGGGTTTAAACATAAAACAACAGAGATCAATACATACCTGTTATGCTTGAGCCAATTCAATTTTTTTTTTTAATAAAAAAATCAAAAAGGAAGGAGTAATAGTCAGGCATCCAAGGCTTAAAAAAAAAGTAATGAAACTTTTTTTTTAAACTAGAGATTACTATTTAAAACAAAACAGAGCGAAGGGAAGGGTAGGGAAGGGAAGGAATACAAAACAGATGGACTATGGTAACCAATCCCCTCATAATGCAAATCATACAAACTTTTCCTCAGAAATCCACAACTACCTAAAATGCACGTCATAAGTCATTTTCTGAAACCCTGAGAAAGAAACTACATAATAGCTCCATTTTTCTTTAACCATGTTGATGCTAGATCCAACAATTTTTAAGTTTCCATCAGATCCCCAAACCACGCAGTTCGCCTAGTATCAAAATAAGAATGAATTATCATCACTAGAAACCCCACTAGGATCAACAGAATGCCAACTATCACAGGGCTTAATCAACTATCCAATTTAAAAACAAATCGAAATCCCATCCAAATGATTATAGATAATCTCCCTCCCTCCAATATCTGCATGAAGTATTTTCCTCCTGGTAACATAGTAGTGAAATTTAGATTAACAACGAACATGTCCATCAAAGAGAACAGTACCATATCTACCAACTACCTAATCTAGAGGAGCTTAAAATGGGATTATATGGAATCAACATCCGACTTACAAGACACAAGCATTCCAAACAATTTGCAAAAGTCCCACTCTAAAAGTTTTGAATTCATTGTCCATTCTCAACTCCAAAATAGTAGCATACAAAACCTAGAAACATTACCTCCCTTGCTATTACATTTTCTATTCCTAAGACGGCCAAAAATACCCAAAAAAAAACCCTACTGAAATTACACCAGACGAATCTTCCATTTATATCTGAAGTTTGGTCCTAAATAATTTTTTAAAAACTCCAAAAATCTGAATTAATAAAGTTCTACTAACAAAGAACAAATACAAGAAGGGTATCTAAACCTGTACTGAGATAAACTTTTGCATGAAATTAAGCGAAATCCACATTCCAATTTCTAAACAATATGATAAAATTAATAACAACAAATAGAATTAAAATCAGCAAAAACAAAGGAAATAAAGAAGATAAGAGAGAAACATAAGATAAAATGCCAAGATATGAACAATTATTGAACAATAACAATGAAATACGCCAAAAAAAAAAAGATAGAAAGAAGCAAAACCTGTGAAAGATGATGATTTAAAAAGTTCATTTTATGTGTTTTGGGGGGCTTTGATCGAGATTTCTTCGAATAAGGAGAACAGACCCGCACCTGCTGCTGCTTGTTTTTGGTTCACTCCACATCCTGCCTATTCTGTTTTTTTAGAACCAAGAAAGTGAAAGAAACGACACATTCAGGGCTTAGTTTGGTCTCCCTTTAGGCGAACACATTCAGGGCTTAGTTTTGGTTCTCCCTTGTAGGGCCTGCCCTTGTACTCCGCCTTTCGAAAAGATCAAAATTGCAAAAACCAAGTTTTGGGCTTTCAGCAAATGATAAACATTGGGCCTCAGGGGCCTTCATTCAATATGTAACCAAAGTTTTCTTTATTTCTTTAATTTCTTTTTTTCCATTTTTGTGGAAGAACGATGATTTTAAAAAAGTTCATTTTGCGTGTGTGGTTTTGAGGGGCCTTCGATCGAGATTTCTTCGAATAAAGGAGAAGAGACCGCGCACCTGGCTACTGGCTTGTTTTTGGTTCACTGCCAACATCTCGTGCCTAATTTTGTTTTTTTTTATAACCAAGAAGTGAAAGAAACAGACACATTCTGCGTAAAAATTCAAATGCGTCGTTCAGGGCTTAGTTTGGGTCTCCCTTTAGGCCCTTGTAACTCGCGCCTTTGCGAAAAATGAAATTGCAAAACCAAGTTTTGGGCTTCAGAAATGATAAACATTGGGCGATAAACATTGGGCCTAAGGGGCTCATTCACATGTAACCAAGTTTTCTTTATTTCTTTTTTTTTTTTTTCATTTTAGTGGAAGATGATGATTTAAAAAGTTCATTTTGTGTGTGTGTTTTGAGGGCTTTGATCGAGATTTCTTCGAATAAGGAGAAGAGACCTGCACCTGCTGCTGCTTGTTTTTGGTTCACTCCAGATCCTGTCTATTCTGTTTTTTTTTATAACCAAGAAAGTGAAAGAAACGACACATTCTATGTAAATTCAAATGCGTCGTTCAGGGCTTAGTTTGGTCTCCCTTTGGGCCCTTGTACTCGCGCCTTTCGAAAGATGAAATTGCAAAACCAAGTTTTGGGCTTCAGCAAATGATAAACATGGGCCTAAGGGGCTCATTCATATGTAACCCTCATCTCATATGTAACCAAGTTTTCCTTTTTATTTTCTTTTTTTTTTTTTCATTTTATGTGGAAAGATTTTTTTTTTTTTCATTTTAGTGGAAGATGATGATTTAAAAAGTTCGTTTTGTGTGTGTGTTTTGAGGGCTTTGATCGAGATTTCTTCGAATAAGGAGAAGAGATCCGCACCTGCTGCTGCTTGTTTTTGGTTCACTCCAGATTCTGTCTATTCTGTTTTTTTTATAACCAAGAAAGTGAAAGAAACGACACATTCTGCATAAATTAAAATGCGTCGTTTAGGGCTTAGTTTGGTCTCCCTTTGGGCGCTTGTACTTGTGCCTTTCGAAAGATGAAATTGCAAAACCAAGTTTTGGGCTTCAGCAAATGATAAACAGTGGGCCTAAGGGGCTCATTCATATGTAACCAAGTTTTCTTTATTTCTTTTTTTTTTTCATTTTAGTGGATTTAGGGGCTCATTCATATGTAACCAAGTTTTCTTTATTTCTTTTTTTTTTTCATTTTAGTGGATTTTAGTGGAATGCATTTGTTAAGTACTTATAACCAATGTTCTTTCTGAAAATGACGTCGTTTTCATCTTAATTGGCCATTATGTATCTTAATGCTTCTCATCTCATCTTTAATAACATATGTTAAAATGATAGATGCAAATTAATTATATTTTATGTGATCATGATTCTAATTACACATATTTATTTTCTTTTTAGCCTTTTCTAAGTTGAAATTGATAGTTTTCCTTTCCTCAATGGTTATCTTTATATATTTTTAAAATGGAATTACTTGTTCACTAGGACCCATATCCACAAATAATTGACAAACCTCAAGTAACCAATACATGGCCATGCTAAGGTAAAAATTAAAATAAAATAGAAGTAAAAATGAGTGATCATAGAATATAATTAAATGGGTACCCTCAAAATTGAAAATATATATATATCTATGGTCTATATTTGCAATATATATATATTATGTGGAAGAGGACAAACGTGTCGGTCTTGTTGATGCCCCACACGTGTGCACTCTTGCGATATTCCTTAATTATATATAATAATTGTTATTCCTTGATATTATTGAACGAGAATTTTCACATTTTTTTAATCATTAAGTATTTGGTAAGTATAATTTTTTAATGTGAGTGCTTAATAAGTGCAATTTTAATTACAAGTTAAAATGTATATTCTTATATTATTCATTGCTAATTAGATAACAGATGAAGAAGGTATAGTTAATTATTTTAGATAGACCAAGACCTTACCAATGTCAATATTAAAATTTATTTTCTTTTATGTAGGAAATTGAATAATTATCTCAAAGTGTTTTTTTAAAGGAAAAAAATTTTTATCTTCGTCTACTTTTATATATATATATATATTGCTATCCCACTTCTTAAAGTGATAGGTTGTCACGACCCGAATCCATGGGCCGGACCGGCACTAAGGCCCAGATAAACTTAAGGCCCCCAAGGCCCGTAGTAAGCCTGAAACACTAAAAATTTACTATCTCAATATAATTTTTTTAACATTCAGCCCATACTGATTGGAAAATAAAACCGCAAGATTCTATTAAACCTCGCCCAAATTTAAAAACATCTTAAACATTTCAAATTAACCGCTGCTTACAATAACAATATTTTATAATATATGCTCACAGAAATGATTTCAATCTATAATAATAATACGACTAAAATATACAAAATCCTATAACTGGCGGAGTTCACTAAACTCTTGGTTACATAGCTTTTTTATACTCAATAATTACATAGTGAAATAATTATGGGAATTAGGAAAATTTCTCTATTGGCCACTGAGCGCCGAAGAAACATAGCCTAAATCGGATTAAAGAAAAACTTAACTTCCTGAAAAAAAAAAATCAAAGCAAGAAACTTGTGAGTTTTCTAAGCAGAAATAATTATCACACAAACATGCAGTCACACAAATGTGTAAATAATATCGATATAGTCATCCGACTAGCTATATGCTCCGCGCCAGGTCACACAAATGGCATCAACCCAGCACTCACAATCATTAACATCTTCATATAATCACATCACGTGGGAAGATTAGTCAGTGGAGTCACCGAAACCCTTCGATGAGCCGTCCTCCCACATGGGCTCATCCTCTCACATGTGCAGCCAGGGAAGCCGATCCCATACTGGGCCGACCGGTCTAATCCTTCACATTGACCAGCCTTCATGAATTGTTTTTCTATCCTCTTTTTCTTTTTTAATAACCAACAGAGGCACCCGGTGGTCTCCATCCAATCTAGAATCATCAAAGCGCTCACACAGGAGGCCACCGCTGCGGGCTTTGCGATCAAAATCTAGACTTGTCCGGTGCGCAAACGAGAGAAGCCAACCTGTGGTTACGGTAACGGTAAACGGTACGGTAACGGTAGGTGCACACGGGGGGCGCCGATCTTCCACCATTTACCCGGCTAAACGTAAATGGATCCATATAACGGTAACGGTCCACTCACAAACCCATGGTGACCACTTCATCCCAACTCCACACAACAAAGCATAGCATTATCACAACACAGTTAATCAACATTGGCAATTAAATTGCAGACAATATGATCAACTACATATTCGAAATGTAATGGCACGATTATGACATTCATACTCATGCAAACAAACAAATAAATAAATAAATAATATATTGACAATAAACAAAATGAAATGAATAAATAAATAATTGATGAATAATTAAATGAACAATCATGATAATAGTAAAATAATCATAACAAGTTATAGAATTAATCTAAATAAACTTATTGATTATGTTATTAATTAAATCTAGACTAGGTTCTAGCGAAATTTCGGCAGCACCTCCCCTTATAAGTTGGACTATCTACCGGCTCAAATATCCCAATATTATGAACACAGCCCATCCGTCGGGCGATCAAACAGTTAAATTTCCCTTCCTCCATCCAAATAATAATGTCAACATTCAACTATTAATTCACAACTTATAATAAACTTCAAACATATCCCAATAATATTATTGAACATTCTTTGCTTCACATAAATATAATCAGCGTCTTTAGCTAATTGACAAATAAATGAAATCTTTCATACATATACATATAAACAGAAGTTATACCATTAAGTTAATTAGCTTCAAACTATTATAAAACTCCTTATTAAACCTTTATTTCATCATCCTTACTTAAGGTATAAACAACATCTTTAAACATTTACTAAAATTCTAAACTAGCCACCTACACTAGCTACTAAAGACTAAGAACCAATGCTTCAATTAAATTACAATTTCATAAATACTTCTACTAGGTAACCCAACTCACAACTTGAACATATAACTAAAGCTTCCTAAATTTCTTTCATCTTGCCACGAAAATACAATTTCTAGATTATAGTAAATTATGTTTACCATCGATCATTACCTAACAAGATTGAAACTATTGAGCATTAACCAATGGTATCCATCACAAAAATATTAACAATATATCCATTCCTTTGTTAGTTCATATAAAAATGGTAACGATTACCTGCAATAGCTACTCCCCACCAAATGCAATAGGTTCTCCTTAACTTAGACTTATACATATATGCACAAACTTATATAATACAGCACAAAATTTCACATCATTTCCCAATCAAAACTTAGATTACTTAATCATCCTAGTAATACATATCAACATTAATTCCATTAAATTTTTCTTTAATTCCATAAACCAGTTAGAATTTCCTTAACAATTTAGTTTTATTCTAGATATTAAATCGTGAAATTAACCAAGTTAATTTGAAATTAAATCACACTTACAATTATAACTCAATTAAACTACTTCACAAATTACTAAATTAAATTAACTAAAATTAATTTAAATTAAATTAACTAAATTAATTAACTACAAATAATAAAATTAATTTAATTAACTAATATTACTAAAATTAAATTATACCCAATATATATATTGTTGCCGGAATTTTGATTAACCGAAAATGGAGGCTGGTGGCCAGAGGTCGACTGGCAGTGGCAGAGAGAGGCGGAGGTGGCGCGAAGGAGCTGGACAGGCTCGTTTCTGGTGGTCAGAGGCA